TCTTCCTGTGGCCATCCGCGCCGCCGCCCTCTCATGCCGAATACATTTCGATTCTGACTGCATGTGATTTGCGACATACCGCATTCCTTGCTTCGGGGTTAGAGTGTTTCGCACCGCCGCGGGATTCGGGCTAGTTCCAGAGATCTCCTACCTCATCTCTAGCTGCTACGAGCTAGTGGGTGATGGCGGTGGTGGTGCTGGTGGAGGTGGTGGTGCTGCTACGAGCTAGTGGATAACTACTTGGTGGAGGTGGTGGTGGTGTTGCTGCTCCAACCAGCCTGCCAGCCTGCATTTCGGCGTTTACCCTACTGCTCTTCCTCTGTCGCGGGCGGATACCCTCCCTCCAGCACGCAGTATGCATATGATATCGATCGAGCCAACCAACCACTGCACAGCAACCGCAGCGCTCTCTGGCTGCTGTCCCAACCCGCCCTGCACGCTTGTATACGGGCGTTTGTTCTCGACGCCATAGGCCCACGCATACAAAGTACGAAGCGCTATGCGGATTCGTCGGTGTCAGCACTCTTTCCGCGGTGCGTCCTACCCCCGCCCACCCGCCGTGAGGCGGAAGTAAGTACATTCCCAAGACCAGGCTTGACGGAGGGAAGGGAGGGAGCGAGGGAGGGGCTCATGGGATCACTCGTGATCACTCGTGATCACTCGTGACACTGCGCTGTGGTGATCACTCATGACCGCTTTTCCCGCCCACTAACCAACTACCACTGCGCGGTGCCGGCTTGCCCCCGCGCCCACCGCTCGGACGCAAGAACCCACGGGACGGGACGTGGCGGAGAGACATGGTTCAGGGGCCGGGGGCGGATAGATCTTGCAGCTCACTCCTCAGTCACCCGGGGGAAGGGGCACTTTGCGACTGTGCGAGTACATACTTATGTGAGGAAAAAAAGGATACTCTGTTGCGTTGCGAACGCTAGTCTCCACTAACCACTTAAAGGAATTAGCACTGCCACACCCTCACTCCCACCGTACAATTTATGGCATCGCTTGGCGCGCTGATTGACTCTTGGCGCGCTGACTGACTCGGCGTGCTGACGGGCCCGGCGCGCTCACTGGAGTGGAAACATGCATGTAGGCTGCGACATCACCATCACTCGGTTTTCTCAATGAACTGGAAATAGAAGTATTTATGTAACCGCATCTCCCAGCGGGCTCAGTGAACTGGAAATAAAAGTATGTAGGTAATAGCATCACCTTGAACTGTAAATAAAATTATGTGGGTAGCAGTATCATCCAGTGCGCTCGGCGAACTGGAATAAGAGTATGTAGGTGGCAGCATCACCCAATGCGCTCAGAAGCATAAAAGTATATAGGCAACATCATCACCCCGCGCTCAGAAGTATCACCGGCGCGCTCAGTGAACTGGAATAAAAGTTTGTAGGTAACAGCATCACCTGGCGCGCTCAGAAGCATCACCCGCGCTCAGCAGCATCACCCAGTGCGATCAGTGAACTGGAATAAAAGTATATAGGCAACTGCATCACCCGGCGCGCTCTGTGAAATGTCGCGACAGGAAAACAAAGAGACAAAACACTCCGCAAATAAATCTATTACAATTCTTCCGCTTGTTCATTTTGTGGGTGGAGTCAATTGTGCCAAGTGTCCCCATTTCTGTAGAATCTCAACCCGCGATGGCAACACAAAAACCATTCCCCAACGAAGTACTTTCTTTGAATCGAGGACAGAGAAATCCTTCTGAACGATGGTATTCGCGGTGAGTCGGCAAAGACACTGTGGTACCTATCCGCGGCGACAAAACTGTGGTATCCGCGACGCGAAACCGTGGTATCCACGGCGAGGAAATTGCTAAAGAGTAGGAGCTGTCAGTCGGACAGCGAAGGATAGTGAACTTACTAGCGGATGATTCGTTGCGGAGACAGTGTGCTGTCCGCATCGCGGAAGGTGTGTACGTGGTGAATTTTTGGTGATGGTAACGCGTCTGCAGAAGGATGCCCCCCCCTGAACGCATATCCCCCGAGCACTGTGGCGCTGTACTTTTTTTTTATTTTTATTTACGGTGCCCAAAAGACTTTAGCGTATAAAACGCAGCACCTACACCCGGAAAAAAACACTTGCCAACCAACCAACCACCGCGATACACTACTATAGACTACTCGGCGGTACATACATAGGTGCAAGATTTGCCCGTCGCACGAACGGAAAGGCACATCCGCTGAGGAATCCGGGCCCCATGTGTGTGTGTATGTGTGTGGGGGGTGAAAACTATCCTCACACGGGTTGATCGGGGAAGTGGGGTGGACTGAGGTGATCAACGTGCGGATTCATCTTCATCTTCGGTACGGTGCGGTTATTTCGTGCTGAGGATTTGGGATCCTGCGGGATCCAGTGTGGATCCAGTGGGGGGCTATTGGTGCTAGTCGTGAAGCGGTTGGACCGCATGTGCAGATTTAATTCCTTCTAGATGGTCGGAATGATGTGGGGTGCTTGCCCGCCCCGCCCCTTCCCTTCCCTTCCCTGCTTGCAGTCTGTGCACGCTGCCGTCGCGGGTTTTCGATAGCTATAGTTATATGTGGTGTGGAGTACTCTAGAGTCTACGTAGCTAGGCGGGTTGGGTTGGTTCCGCGTGTAGTTAAAGACGATCCTGCGCGAGGGTCGCAGTGAAAGCGCGAGTGGGCAGATACATACTATTATACCGTAGTGACTACTGAGTTGCTGATAACTACAAGCAGCTGTTTTTCTAGCAACCATACAGCCAGCCAGCTAGCAAGTGAGCCTGCGGATCTGGGGTGGACATGGAAACAGATGACCAATACTTTGGACGCACCGATTGTCACTCGCGCCGCTCGCAGAATCCGGAGATGAGAACGCGGAAGCGGGGTAAGATGTGAAGATCGGTGGGCAATGCGGGCATGGATGTGAAGGGCGCAAGATAAGGGTATCGTGGCCAACCGAAATTTCCGCGATTGGCATCATCCGTACATAGTCACGGCGAAAGAACGGTCTTGAGCGACGGTCCATCTCGCTGTGGATATCATCAGTAAGTGGGACTTGAGTAGGTATCCTAAGGCCCGCCGTCTTCTTGTACACATATGCCACGCAATATCGGCTCCGCGTACATGCTAAATACATACTCTCAGCGAGTCAGTTCGTAGGCCAGCACGTGGTAATCTCCACAGAGATTTCGCCGTTCAGGAAGAACATCCAGAAAATGTCCGCCGAACCTCCGCCGAGCCTCCACCAGAGGATAGAGGCCCGAGAGGAGTTGTCCGATGTGCAATAATCTCCAGTGTCCTCCTCTGGGGTCCTCTCTCCACGAGCCGTCTCGTGCAGGCCTACCCTCCCCACGACTCGAATTACCACAACGTATGTACTACTACCACAACGGTCCCATCGAAGGAGTCACGGTGGGCCAGTGGAGACCCAGATCGGACTTTGACAACCCATAGTTACGACGGAGATGAAAGAACCTCCACGAACAGCCGGTATCGTACATCGAACACTTCCGTTCCGCCTGATGCCAACACACCAGTCTCGATTCTCGAAGCCCGCATAAACACTTGGAGGAGGAGCGCAAGTACCGCGCGGTTGCAAGCGCCCTGTCCTCTATCATCCCCAATAAACATCTCGTTGCGATGCTCAATGTGAACTACGGCACCCACTCACTTCCGGATTTCCTCCTCTGTTTGGAAGGCATGTGACCAAAGCGAGTGATTAACCATGCGCAAAATCGGCATTTCGCAATTCCGTGCGGATGTGCACTTTTGCACTTTCCCAGCGCGGCACGATCCGCGAATGCAAGCAATGGAGAATGATTGCTTGGTGGAAACGCCAATGGGAGTGACCAGGAAATGAGAAGGAAGGTGAAACACAAACATGCGAATAGGTCTTTTTTTGCTGATCATTGCCAGCGAGGGCGCTCATGATGGGTTAGGGATCATACGGGTGCAAAAACGGACGTCCCGGGGGCCCGGGCCCAGCGTGGGTATGTAGCGCCGTGGAGCCCATGGCCCCCTCACATCGGCGGCACAAAAAGCAAAATAGTCGTGCCATGTTTTCGCCGAGCCTGCGAAAGGCGGGGTAGACTATCGAGGCAGTGGCCAGTGATAACCACTTAATTACGTACCTATCTACTTACATAGATTACCAGTACGTACATGGTCGAATCAATCGTGCCGGTGCAGCCTCTTCAGCCGCAAGAAACCCAGGCCAGAGTGGAGAGTGGAGAGGAAGCCTTCAAGCGCCGCCAATGCTCCTGCCTGGGAACACTCTACCGCTCGAACGGACGAATCTACTCCCTACGACGCGGCCGCAACCCTTCAAAGAAATCCCAACTTCCCCGTCGCCGCGTCGTCGATACTATATTGCTGTGGCAGAACCCATCTCGCTTGCGGCTTCCCGGGCGGCTCCCAGGTCTATTCGCACTGTCGGGAAAGATCGGCTGGATCGTCCATGTGCTTGGTCAGTGTGAATAAAGTTCGTCGTGACGCTCTGCTAATCAAGTGTAGCGAATCATCTACGGAGGCTGCCCGCAGCTCGGCAAATCTCCGGGCTTCTGTTCACGACGTCCTCGAGTCGAACCGCGAGCTTTCGATGCACGATCGGTATATGATGTCCCACTTGGACAAGATCCGTCTAGAGGACGATGGAATGTCAGTCGTCTCTACCGGGAGTCACGACACTGTTCGTGGACGGAAAATGGCCTTCGTATTTGAGTGTGCCCTCCGGGGAAGTATGGTTTACTATACAGGCAACAGAGGGTTTGGAATCTCTCCACGCTCACCCTCGAAGTTCGGTGACGAGAGGCACATGGTGGACGATGCTGTCGGAGCCGAGTCTCGCTAATGTGATCTCAAATCCACCATTATTTGAGCTTCCGATCTAGCGCACCGACAATGACGGCCATTCCAGCTACTCAAATCCCCACCTTCGAGGACCAGTTGTCCTTGTAAGCATGCCGAGCAGACTCCCACGCAGCCCGATCGTCTTTCTGCCACTCTCAGACGTTGATAGATACCACTCCGTCGGTGCTTCTGGGGATGTCCCACTTTGTGCCGAGGCTTTTAGGTGATAACGGAATGGCTACCTACCTACTTCATCGCGGCACCGCAATCAACATAGCCGACAAGACGGCAATACTGCCCTCTACAGAGCGGTTTGACTGGATATTGACGTGACAATTTTCCGGGGGTATTCTCGATTGGTGCCGATGTGGTACGTTCACTCATTAGCCGTGGTGCTAATACTCGAGTCAAGGACAACGATGGGCAATCGCTATTGTACCATGCGTACAAGGAGGGGCTTGGGTCAATTGCTCTGCTGCTGCTCCGACCCCCTCTTATTGCGAGTGACACCGTGTAGCCCCGCAGGTACCCAATGGAAGCAGCGAAAATCACACGGACGATTGAAATACGACGCGGAGTACCTACAGGCCTTTGAGGATGGGTCCTCCAAAGTTGTAGCCGGGGCTGGATATCCTTCAATCCCCATTCACTTTAAAAGCTTTCAGTTCAGTTCAGCCCTAGCTCCCACCCCTCCACATAAATACCCCTTCTTCCCTTTACCAGTACCACTCAGGAATTTCCCCTCCCTCCACTACGACCCCTTCAAACATCTTCCATCACACATCACACATCAACACCGCAAAGAACCAAAAATCAAGATGAACCATCACCACCTCCACACGTACCCACACGCGGTCGCTGCAGCCGGCAGTACGGGCGATACACCCAACACCATCAGCGACTTCCGCAACCTTCTGTTCACGAACCCACAGTCGAAATTTGTCGTACTAGTCGTCGGCGTACTCTCGTTCTTCCAGACAATATACCTAGTGTACTTGGTCTGCACATGTCTCAGCATACTCAAGCGTCGAGATATGGCCCCCTGCGAGGACTGCGATCTGTGTGCGGAATGTGGTCGCGCTACTCTGAAAATGTTTGAGTGGGAGGGCGCGAAGAAGAAGAAGCTGGCGTAGACACCCGGCGGACAGTGTTCGACACACCTACCTAGTCTGGTCCGTCCGTCCGTCCGTCCTGGGCCGAGGACCAGACTGCACTGAACTGCACTGGACTGGACTGTATGTTGGCGGGCCATCCGGTCCGGACTGCTGCCCTGACCGGACTGTGTCGAACACTGCCGTCCGAGCGGCCTAGGTGGATGGGATATGGAGGAACTTGGGAGGCGGCGCCGCGGCGGGCACTGGGATAATTTTTGGTATCTATTCCTTTAGTTTAGGCGTTCACCGGTGGAATCGGGGATCGGTCATGGTTTGGATTCGAACTGATAGCAGCTTTCTATTTTACAATTGCCTCCTGATGTACTCTTTCCTTGGTTTTTTTTTCACATTTATTTTTGTACTCGATCGTTTCAGATCATCATACCTAGTATTATCCATCCTGTCCCATTTCCTCCAAATTTACCGTGTTTTCGACTTCTGAACCGATTTCTACTGTATCTAGATATCTTCTGCTCATTGGCTCTTCCACTCGAGGGCCGGGGCGGCACTTGAAGAGCTGTGCTCCCGCGCCGGTAGAGTGGGACAGCTCCATCCATCCACTGCTGAAATAGAGTACCTAACCATCCATCCGTGGACTACGTTTTTTGTTACTTCATCATTGCATCGACGATACCATGTAGGTAGGTAGGTAGATCATGGCAGTTATTATCCTCCACCTGGCCTCATCCGTGGATTACATACGCCGTCAACGAAGGATACGGAGCACGTGACTGACGGTGACCGTAGCGAGTGCGATATTGTGATTCTTGCGGACAGCTCGTCGGAAATACTTGCCGGATTGGTATTCGACTCCATCTCACTCGTGGCATTTTAAATAGGTACATAGACTTTGGCCTGCCCATGGTAGCTCAATGTAGCACCCTATGTACAATACTTCCCCTTTTACCCCTTCCACACACAAAAAACCTGATGTCACTGTTTTTTTCCTTGCTGGAAATTCGAATACATCACCTTCAGTGAGTGGTTTTGCATGATGTTGACTTCCATCGACCAGCTACCCAGGTACTAGTACAACCCGACGATTCCAAGCTCTGTCAATGTGCTATGTAGTACCCATTCACAGCTCCCGTGAGTCGCACCACCAAGCCCAGCACAGGCGGCTACCCAGGTACCTAGTACTATAGAGCATATGTAGGTAGACCGCCATATATACTGCCCGGAGGCTAGAGGCTAGAGGCTAGAATCAATTCTTTACGCCCTTAAAATACCCATTCACCATCCCTCATCATTCACCCTCCCTGCTCATTCACCCTCATTCCGGCAGGCTCTTACAAGTTACAACTTCCTTTCCCTCCCCATTCGCTTTCCGTTCAACTCAGTACTCTATAGGGTTTTGACAGAGGTATCTACCTCCTCCGTCTCCTGTGGCAATTCGCGAGACTAGGTACTGTAACCACTAGGTAACGGGTTGCCGCGATCGGGAGAGGGGATGTATTGTACACCGAGGGGGGGTTCCTCCCTTCCCCATTCACGCTGACTCCTGAGTGTGATACCTAGCTCGAGGCGGCGCAGTACCTATGAGACGTTTGCGAAACCGACAGAGTACCTACCTACACTACTATAGTCTGTAGGTATTGTTTCGCTCAGACCGATGGCCGATGGCCGATGGCTGGTGGCCGGTGGCCGGAGGAGGATGATGTTCGCAAACCCCGCCACACGCCACACACCACACTCTTTTTTTTTTTGTTTACCACCTCCCGCGAGCGCGAGTGCGAGGCTGAATACCTATCCCTACTCTACTGCAAACCCACTTCCGCTTCGTTTGCACGCAGTGCTCAGTGCTCGGAAACAGATCGTTGTTTCGACTCGGGGGGCGGTAACGTGCGATCACTTCATATCACTCGCCTACTATCTTTTTCCCCCACCTAGAATCCGAGAATCTCCTCGCTCATACTACAAGCCACCGAACCGGGCTGAACGGGATAATGTGAAATAAAACCAGATTCATTTAATACATAACCGTCAGTATCAGTGCCAGTGATGTCATTCCCCAATCCCGCCGTAGCTAAAATCCCCCACCGTAAACTAAAGGAACCACAAAATCCCACCTCGAGAAAGATGAGAAACGACACCAAAGTACTTAGATACTAAATACTAGTACTACTAGTAGTATATAGTACACGCTCCACAGGAGCGGCAAGAAAAGAAGTGAACTGAAAGAAAAAGGAAAAGAAAAGAAACCCTTCAATACTTGTGTCGAGCTATCCTACCCCCGCCGTCCCCGGCCTCATCCCCGCCCCGTCGCCGCATGCTTTCCATTCCTTTCCTTTCCTTTCGTCGTTACCATCACAACACAAGAAGAAACCCACACTACAAACCCCACAAACCCCCCGCCACACCACATGGTACAAAAACAGCCATCCATCCGATCCCATCCCATCCTATCGCATCCATACATCACACTCTGATACAAATCCCCCCCCTCAAAATAAAAGAAAAATAAGAAATAAGAAGAGAGAGAAGAAGAGAAAGAAGAGAAAACTAAGAAGAAGGGTACTCTCTTTTGCGCGCACGACACCATGAGAAACAAAACAAAAAGTTGGAAAAAAAAAAACAAAAAAACACCGCGGAAACGGAAAAAAAAAACCACATATTACGACCCCGCGTACCCCTGCAAGCCTGTAAGCCCGTCCCGCCGGTTACGCGGCAATCCTTGTAGTCCTCCTGCGCGTACTCCTCCGGAGCGACTCGACCTCGGCCTGTGCTCGCCGCTCCTCCGCCGCCTCTTCCCGCACCACCGTCTCGCCCACTTGTTTCCGCCCCTCCCGTACCTTGCCGTTCATGGCCGCGACGCCGCCGTTGGTGGTGGTGTGGCCATTCACGTGCGAGTTTGTGATGTCGTCTTTCTGCGGCGGGAGGAGAGCGGCGACGCGGTCCCGTTCTACAGCGGCAGCGGCACGTTCGCGCGAGGCGGCGTAGCGCGCCGACGCGTCGCCACCCGTCCATTGCGTTCCGAGCCAGCGGTCCCAGCAGATCAGGAATGGCTGCGAGTAATTGGTCTGCCGGAGGTGTCAGTGTTCCGTGTTCCGTGTTTTCTCTCCCCCAGCTGTTCCGCGCCCACGTACCTTGATTCCCCAGCTCTGGTGGTGCACATCGTGGTAGCCGGCATTATTCCAGAAGATCTTCTGCAGAGGATCCCATGGCAGTGCGTACCCGCAATGGTCGTCGACGGTCTTCATGGTCGAGAAAGAAAAGAAAATCATTCCGCCGCGGATGCCCATTCCCGAAAGTTTGTAACCGAGCCCGGCGCCGATGGTGTCCATGAGTAGACCTTCGAACCAATGGTTGTAGAGCGCGCCGAACGCGAATGGAACGTAGAGACGGTGGTGACGAGAGTGAAACGTTTCTATAGAATTCGGTTAGTGTTACAAACAGTTGGCGAGGTGGATGACGTAAACGACTGTTGTAACGGGGGAAAGGGGGGGAGACGCACTGTAAAGCCACTTGGACTCGTGCATGAGCCGGTGCAAAAAGTACTGCCATGTGTCGAGAACAAAGATTGCGAACCATATCCTGACAGCCGGCAGGATATACCAGTAGACAAACTCTGCGACCGAAAGCTTCCAGTCCGCCGGACCACCGCCCAACCCCAACCATCCCATAGCCGTGTTCAGCAGCTGGCCGCCGCCGGCGCCCACAACCCCGCGCACAACCTTCTCCTCCAACGCGGCACCATTGATCCCGACGACCCCCAGGGCCGCCGTCATCCATCGCTCGACCGACAAGAACCGCGTGTACAGCGCAAACACTTCGGCCGCCTCTCGACCCACCATCTCGGTGGGCTCATAGAACGCGGTTATCCCGCCGACGATCGTCTGGACGATGTGCTGCAGCACGACATCGCGGATCACCTCGCGGCGCGTAACGTGGTTTCTTTTCAGGACCTCTTCGGGTGTGTGTAGCCGATACCGCGACAGGAGATTGTAGGTGTCGAGGAAATGGAAGAACAGCGACAGCGACCAGTAGGTGATGATGGGCAGCGCCAGCAGCACCCAACTGTCGGGTATTGGGGGTAGCAATGGCGGTAGTGGAGTTAACGTGGTCGGCGGAGGAGGCGGGAAGGGGAACGAGCTGTTTGTCAGTGAAGGTAGTGTTGGCGGCTGCGAAGCCATGTTGTGTATGTGAGAGAATCGGAGCGGAGTCTGTGTGGCGATCGGGCCGGAAGGGCTGAGGGCCGGGAGCGAGAAAAGGAGCGACAGTGCGTTTTCGTCCGGGGGAGAGTGTGTGAGTGAGTGCGTGAGTAGAACGACACGACGACAAGAGCTGTAGAGTACCGATGTTACGGGGGGCAGGTGGGCGAAACGAGGTGTGAGCGAGCGACGGAAGATCGAGAGGAGGATTTGCGAGTTTGTAGGCGGAGCGGTAAAAGAGAGTGAAAGGAACTTGGCTTGGAGGTATTCGTAAGGGTGGTGGGTTGATCTGTCAGTCTTGGGGGGGGGGAGGGGGGGTGAGTGGTGACGAGGTCTGTCTCTTCCGTCTGTGTCCTGTCTGGCGTTTTTTGCCGCAGAGGATGGAATTGGTTGATTAGTGGGCAGGTTCCGTGCAGGGTTTGGTGCTACCAAGCGTAGCGAATTGGGTTTGGTGGACGAAAAAGGCCGCTCGGATTTGTTGCTATGTAAGCAGAGCACTCGCCACGAAGCCGAACAAAGTCGAGAGGAGAGCAGCCAGCGGATCGTCAGCGGCGGGCAGGAGGTGATGGAACGGACGAGTCGTTTCAGGAGCGGACAGGAGGAGTTGGAGGTTCGGGGGGGCGGGGGGGGGGGGAAGAAGAGAGATGGAGGATTCTTCGACTGGAACGGCCGGACAAGGCGGATAGAGGTTCGAACGGCTGCTGACTAGCTACTAGTGGTGCCTGCTTGCTGACTGCTGCGGAGGTATGGTATGGTATGGTCTGGTCTGGTATATGAGACCAGGAAGACCGGGAAAAGGAAGGAGGGAAGCCAAAGTCCGACGATCCGAACGGCCAACGGAAGGGATAAACGAACAACGAGAGAGAGACAAGTGATGATGACGAGGATGAAGAGGAAGAGGAAGAGGAAGAGGAAGAGGAAGAGGAAGAGGAAGAGGAAGAAGACGATGATAATGCGGGTGAGGAAGGAAGCAAGAACGTAATACGAGACGAGGCGAGGCGAGGCGAGCAGGACAAAGGCGGGCAAGGCTGTGTCTTGGAGATTGTTCACACACAGCCAACCGGGAACGCAATTCCGTGGCTGCGGTGGGGGGTTGGGCTGATTCGAGGGATGTCCGATGTTATTCAGCGGTGGTCTCGAATGCGCCTGATTGGAGCATCAAAGTCGTCTGGGGAGTGGGCGGGGAGTCGGGAGTGGGCGAGTGAGTGCTCAGGTGTGTAGATAGGTCAATGGGTACCTACCAGGTACTATAGGTATACTCGGTAGTGTCGAGCGTGGATCCGGTCGAACGAGCGGAAGGGGAGGGATTGCGATGAGCTGGAGATGGAGACGAGTGAAATCAGATGGAGAACCACCAGATTATCAGATGGCGGCCGGTGACTCCGTTCGACTCAACTCGGCAGCGCCGTCTCCATGGATGCTTGGTCTTGACGAGTGCGCTGACAGTCGCGTGAGTTTCACGCGCTGTCGCTACTCTAAAGTGATGGGTACACACTCTTTCTCTGGAAAACGTCCAATACTCTGGAGTAACCCCGAAATGTCCGGTGTTTTCCTCCGGCCACCACCACTATCACTACCTATCGCCGAATCCCAGTACCATGAAGTAGTTAGTAGGTACTATGCACCGTAGTAGTTATACCACCACTTGAACACGTCGGGTACGCAGTATGGAGCAGACACCCAGGTCCATAGTACATAGATACATGTACCGTCCACTGCCACTGCTACTTCGTCTTCATCTTCATGTCCCTCTTCCGCTCGTCCACTGGAGCACTGCCATCACAGCTCTCGTGTCTCTCTCGTATCCTTCGTGTGCGGCTTCAAGTTCCCCCGAGAGAGCGCCGCCCTCTGACCGACTGAATGAATGACTGGCCGGCCCATAACTGCAGCGCGTCCGCTGATTGCCTATGCAACTGGACGTATGTAGAGTAAAGCACCTCATTCCACAGTCGTCTCGCCCTTCGCACGAATGGCAGTTGCCCCTTCCTCTTCCCCATCTCCTTCCCCTTTCCCCCCCACTCTTGTGCACCAGTTCTGGGCTTCGTGCGCTCGGCATCGCGTTGTTCCGGTCGGCATCCGAGCCGAGATTCTTCCAGTTCCAGTTCCAGACGCACGCCGCACGCTGCCCGCCGCATGCCGCACAAACCACGCTCGCAGCTCGCTCGCGCGCGTATCTCCGGAGAGCCGATCCGTCCGGACTCCGGCCCACCCCACCGTCCAATAGAGTGATGTCGTCCATCGTCCAAAATGCACAAGTCGCCTCGCCGCCACTGGAATTGGCCGGGGTGAGGCAAGCCCCACGTGGCTGAATAAGCCGCGCCCCGAGGCGGCGTCGATCCGTGCTGTGGCGATCCGTGCTGTGGCGGAGGCGATCACGTGCGTGCGTCTAGAGTTGCTGGCTGGTTAGCGGATCAATCTCGTTGCGTTGCATGCATGCAAGCTTTGCTTCTAGTTGTCAAAAAATTTCCCATGCCCCCCTCGTCTTGGCTAGCCCGAGTGAGTGAAAATTAAAGTTGGGGCGTGGGATAAAGTTGTTTCTTCATAGCCATTCGTGCCACCCCACCCATCCCACCCCGCTCCTTCCCACTCCTCTCCTTCACCACCTCTACACACCACCGCCCGCCAATAACCTCGACTCCCCTCACTACTCCCCATACACACACGCCAAAATGCTTATCTTCAAGGTGAGATGATCTCTGTCCCTCTCTTTTGCGCGGGTTTCTGTCGAGTACTGGAAGCGGAGCGCATACCAGCAGCACCACCAGGCGAGGTGCGGGGTAGCGGGGTACCAGATGGGTGGAAATCTCGACGCATAGGACAGGACAGAACGGAATAGGGCCAATGCGAAACAGAAGCTGACGGACTCGCTCGACAGGATATCCTCTCCAACGATGAGATGATCTCGGATGTGTACGACCTCAAGGAGGTCGATGGTACCCTCTACGAGGCAGACTGTGCCATGATCACGATCAAGAAGGGCGCTGATGTCGGTACGTATTTTTCTTCTCGGAGAGGGAGTGGTGGGAATGTGCGTGCGCATGGCTGACTTGATTGGGGATAGATATCGGTGCCAACGCTTCCGCCGAGGAGGCCAGCGAGGAGCTCGAGGATGGTCAGGAGACCGTCAACAACATCGTCCACTCGTTCCGTCTCAACTCGACCAACTTCGACAAGAAGGGCTACCTCACCTACCTCAAGGGTACGAGTTTCCTCCCCTCCCCTCCCCCCTGCTCCTCTCACTAACACTCTCTCCACCTCAGGCTACATGAAGGCGGTCAAGAGCAAGATGCAGGAGAAGGGCAAGTCGGCGGAGGAAGTCGCCAGCTTCGAGAAGCGCGCCGCCGCGGCCGCCAAGAAGCTGATCGCCAACTTCAAAGACTACGAGTTCTACATGGGCGAGTCGATGGACGTCGACGGCATGGTTGCGCTCCTCAACTACCGCGAGGACGGTGTAACGCCCTACATGATCTTCTGGAAGGACGGTCTGGTGCAGGAGAAGGTTTAAATATCGAATCGGTTTTTTCTTTCTTTCTGGATTGGGATTTAGGATGGCCATGGTGTTGTGGTTGTGTGTGTTCTGTACGGTGGAGCGAAAACAAAATAATTGACGATGCGATGCGGGGGATTGAAGAGCATCTGACTGACGGCGGACGGTGGACGCGGGTGGTGATGTGATGTGATGTGATGATGCGATCCCTACGTGCGATCTAATTGAGGAATCGGCGCACAGTTCCCACTCTGCCTGAGTACTACCGAAATACACGCCTACTCTACTCTACTCTGCTACACATAGAGATGTCGAAATCTCCATGTAGATACATAGAGTACATAGAGTGTTGACATGTCGCCCCGTCGGACCCCGGGAGAGTGGAGTACCCACTACCCACTACCCAGCATGCGTAGGGGTGTCCCGGACCTCCCCAGCCCCATCCCCAGCGGCCAGCCCCAGCCAGCCCTCGCGAGTCGCGAGTCCCCGACCTCACTCCCTTTAATTATGACGTCGTCCCCTAGAACCCCAGAATCCTTCCATCGGATCGGACATCCTTCCATTCTTCCCCCGTTCCCCCGTATTTCCGTGGTGGCGTTGACTCGTCGGAGCGTCGGAGCGTGGATAGGGGGAGGATTTATAGTGCTTACGTAGGGAATGTAGAGTACTCCCGAGACGTTGTGTTCGCAGTGGGGGGCTTGGCTAGAGTACTGTGGGATTCGGGGGGCCAGACCCGATGCGGTCGGCGGTCGCCTCAACGTTGAGAACTTGAGATGTTCTCTGTTACTGCTTTTATGTTCGTCTGGTCGGTCAGTCTGTCGTTCAATACACGAAACATCAGACATTATTAGTTTAACATCACGGAAGTACTTGAGGTTGTTCGGCTTGAAGAATACAGGCTGCTTTTCATTCTTGTTGTTTTCTAGCGAATTCAATCAGTCTCGCCAGTTGCCCGTACCCGTTGGAGACTCGGAGGTCTCTCACTAGTGCTGACGCATCCATCAGTCGCTCGGCTCGATCGGCTCACTCGGATCAATCGGCTTGCTCGGCTTACTCGGGGTTGGTGAGAGGGGGACGGCGAGGAAGGGAGGGGGGGATGATGGAGGCGGAATGGAGGCGGAATGGAGTTGGGATTGTGGAAAGGAAGTGGAAAACGAAAGAAAAGACTAGAGTACCTAGAATGGGATACCTAGAACAGGAGGGGATTACTCGCACGGTGTTCATCACAATGTCTCACTCGCCCTTCTAGTCAGGTACGGTATCGTAGTTATGCCGATCCGATCTGCGGATTACGGTACCAGTAGGTAGTGGGTCCCCCCGAACGGTCGTGTATTGTACATACATACATCATGTACATATAGGTAGATGGTACTTCCCAGCAGCGCCATGATGCGATACGATAGGTACACTCTGCCGAATCCGCTCGATGACTTTGCGAAGCCGGCGGCGGGCGGGGGCGGGGGTGGGGGGCCTTCATTAATGGTTGGTCACAAAAGACTTTGTCGCGCCTGCACGTGGATGCGACACGCGATGGTGCGATGGTGCGATGGTGCGATGGTGCGATGGTGCGATGGTGCGATGGCGGGACGGCGGGATACGGAATGGTGTCCTACGGGATGGCGGCACAGCGAGCACGGCGGGACTGTTCCTGTCTGCCGACGGGGTCGGATATCTGGTACCATGGCGCTGGGGTGGTCCGACCGTCCGAGGAGTTCGAGACTAACCTCCAGGCGCGTCTCCACGTGCGCCGATGGGGGATGGCGGAGTTCGTCGCGACCCGCGGGGAGCGGGCTTATACCGGTACCAAGTTGGTAGTCGGTACTCGGTCTCGGGCGCGGGCGCGTGCGGCAGTGCGAGGCTGCGTGGGCTGCGTGAGGTTGCGTGAGGCTGCGGGGCTTTTGCAACCCGTAGGTGACGGTGAAAACATCCCGCAGCCCGCTCAAGAGAGTACCTATCGGCACTGCCGCGACACATTTGTAGGTCCCGTTTGGATGGCCTCAGTTTTTCGAGAAACTGAGCAAATGGAACTGAGACCCCGTTTGGATGGCACAAAAACTTTTTTAAAAAAACCGAAACTGTGCGGCTCCAGCGACGAAACTGGTACTGACCTCGAGAGGTCATTTCTTTGCCGCCATTCAGTATCGCATTTTAACTTCAACCATGAGAAAAAAGCGGGGCCACAATGTGTCCACTATTAAAGCTCTGGTGAAGCCTATTATTCAGACTTATGGCTGAGTAATCTGAGAACTGCCAAACACTCTATTCACCTCAAGGTTTTCCGGAAACTGAAACTGGACAGTGTTCGGTGTCCCGGCAGGGAACTGGATTTGCCACTAAAACTGGAACTGAAAAGTGAGTGCATCTAAACGGGCCCTATGGACAAAGCTTGTCGATGAAAGTCGACAGTCGACATCATGCAAAATCACTCACTGATGGTGATGTATTCCAGCAAGGGAAGAGCGACATTACCTTTTTTTAGGCTCGCAACAGCTGTGGAGGCTGGTAGTGAACAGGAAAGTGCATAGGGCGCTAAATCAAGCCACTAATACCATCTGAGGCACTATAGACAGGCCACGGTCCAAAATGCCACGAGCTTGAGCACTGAGATGCGGTCGAATGCATTAGGATGGAACCTAAAAAAAACGTGAACCCCAATACCCGATGAACCAGTTATCAACGTTAAGGCAGACCCATAAGTAGCTCATCGTGACCTGCAGGAGGTCAGGAATCCATCCTGCTATCCTACTATCCCGCTGGACGGGTCCGACAGGTCCGACGGATCCGGGAGGGTCAAGCATCTAAAAAAAGGACAGGTCCAGACTCCAGACTGCAGACTTCAGACACAAATCCGACTCGTTGTGGTTGTGCAAGAAAGTGCAGACCCTGCAGTAGGCTTCCGAGGAGCACCGAGACCATACCCGGAGAGGACAGCAATGAGGAGGGGGAGGATGTGGAGGAGGAGGATCGGAGATTAGCGAGTGGATCGTCCGTCAATCGCGGGGGGCGTGGCGGGTAGGGGCGGAGCGTGGGGCGGGAGGATCAGCGATCCAATGCGTACGTGTGCTTCTTTTCTTTTGTTCTGGCTGGACACGGTTACCAATGAAACAATCTGGGTGCCAGGAACGTCACACGGTGCCAACATGCCAGGTTTCGACCTGGACGGCGGCGAGTGACCAATAGGATACAGGTTTTGGAACAAATCGTGAATCCGCGATCCGGAATCTGGAAGGTCAAATGCAGTATGATGAAATAGCTGAAGAAAACCCTGAATTCCCGCCTCCCCCTCTGGCTGGACGGCCGTATGTATGTAGTATTGACTCTGGAATCTGGAGTTGAGGCAACCATGAAAAATTGATTCTCGACACCTGCGTAACCTTAGCTGAGATCCAATCATTGGCCTATCTAGATAGAGAGTTTCATCTAAACGTTCGCCCTCACCCCCCAGAGCTGTTCGGTTTGGTTTCGTTCTCATTTGTTTCAAGATGGTCTTGTCACCACTAACCAAGGTGCTTCTCCAATGAGATGGCCCACTTGTGATTTGTCGAGCCGGTCGACCTCTAGGTCACGCGCACTGTTACTTGGCAGGACGACTACGGTACTTCACCGAGTGGAGCGTATACGTCCCTCGTGACATCGTGTTTTGGATTGCGCGTGTGTATGTACTGCACATACATGCATACAGCCGCGAGTGAAAAGGTGTGGACAGGACTGACTCCTGACTCCGGCTGTGAGGCAGAAACCGAGTACCGTAGATAACGGGAGCTCTGTAGACTGTTACCGAAGCTTTCTATGTACATAGCGGACGGATAGCGAAGACTGGGCTACAGTAGTGTAATAGTGTACTACCGGTACGGCTGAAAATATGGACATTCGTGGCCGCGGCGCGAGCAGTCCGACAGACAGACGCAGAATGCCGATATTCCCCATGAACTACACGCACGTGTTGACCTAGCCTGAAATGCGGAATACATAGTCTGTATAAACAGCCGAAACGAGGGTTTACGATAATGTCTGATGGTATGTACTGCCATCCCAGGTGAAATACGATGTTGGTTCGCGAGATAGCAGTGCTAACTTACCACCCCTCCAACACTGCCGGACGATGCGTCACAGGTGTTTTCGCTGTTATCGATGTAAATCCAACGCCCATATTCAAAGAATATACATAGGAGTATGTACTTTCTCGTCCGCATCACTAGACACCAATTTTTTGACTGTGTCGTAGATGCTTGGGTAAACAGTACCAAGACGGCGAAATAGGTAAGACCCTGGGCCAAAAGTCTGACACAGACGAGCACTCGTAAACCCGTCCCCATCCATAATCCATATGAGAATCGTCCCCCACGTCCCACGCCCAGCGAACCGTTCTATTTTTGGTTTTGTTTCATCATCACTGCACTCGGCCGGTATCGGCCAATGACTATCATAGTAGTGGAGATATTCGCTCCGTAGTTCTGCTCCCCCACGTATCTACGAGTAGTGGGGGCACGTAGGTTGGAGCGTCCCCATCGCCGTCTCCCAACAAAAGGAACTAATTACTGTACACTCGAAGTAAAAGACCTAAGAGGTGATCAACTCGCAGTCTCCCATCCTTCTCCCGCTCCTACTCCTGTACTCCTCTACTCCTCCGAAAATCTCACGACTACGGTACTCTGCCCTGCTGCCATCAGCGTCTCTGGGGCCTGGGAAAGCCCTTTATTCCTTGAATGAACTTTTGTTCAGCCAACAGATATATCTGCACCTGCACCTGTCAAATTCGTTTCTTCTTGCATCGCCAGCTCACCACTTGCACTTTTTAGAAAAGCGGTGTGCACATTACACAACTCTCGTTAATCCCGCGGTCGGTCCACCACACGATTCTTATTCTGCCTCTCTCCAAATTACCTTTAGGTACCGCGCACTCAGGGTGTGGCCTGGCGGTCTTGCGTTGACGATACCGGGCAGTGATCATTATCGACGTCTTCCCTCACAGGCACACAGTAAAACTACGGCTCCACTCTCAGTTGGTACATAGGGCGGGGGGATTTACAGCACCTCGTCTAGACGACCCACTCATTGATGACCGACCAAAACCCATCCCACCTCCTTCCAACAGCTCGTCGCGAGTGATACCACATGCACCTCTACGTATTAACCCATTCATGGCTCGGCGGCAAATAACCACCCCGGCACTTACATTCCAGGTTTGGACTGAATCTACAAGATTAGCTGATAGCGAGTTGGAATGTTCCATTCCACTGCAGTCTTCTCCGCACTCGGCGATTTGCATGATGGAGCGGGAGAAAAAATACAGCACAGCCCCCCCCCCAGCCCCTACCAGCCTCAGGTTCTCCGCTTTTGTGCAGCCCGTCGAATGCGTGGATCCTCCACATAACAACCCCTCAGCCCCCCCACCCACCACCCGAACCTCCGCGGAGAGAGAGAGTCGCCGACTGTTGGTACACAGTTCATATCATCCCGTATACACACACACATACACGCAGACATACACACGACTCAGCAAAGAACACGCCGGAATATACACCTAAGCGAAACGATCGTATGTCGAGGCCACGAATGACCCATATCTACCACCCTACCTCCACGTCGACGTGGAGAGTGAGGGATACCTGCACGGACGCATCGCATCGTATCGATTCGAATCAGATAGGATACGGTTGGTGGGTGGTGCTGGTGGTGGTGCTGCTGGTGGTGACGATAACGACACTGAACGGCGACTCGATGAGCGATTTGAGTCCGGGGATCTACGGCGAACGGTGTTGGGTTCTTGTCGACTTCCTTTGGGGGGAGGGGGGGCTGGGCTGGCAGGAAAAGCGACGAGAGTTTGAGGCGGACGAGATGCTCAGGTGTCATGAGTCGCTCGCTGCATCTGCAGCAGCTCGAAGGGTCGGTAAGTGGCTTCTTTTCTTCTTCTTCTTCTTCTTATGTGCTGCCGCGAGCCTGTTGTCATCCATCGATTTGACAGGTTGACTGCTGACTAGGTGCTTGCTGACGCTGCGGTCATCATCCTCACATACTCACGAGAACTGGCGGATTTGCGGTGGCATGTAGTTTTGCCGGCTATCATAAGCGAGCTCCACCTCCGCCTTCACCTCCACCTCCACCTCCACCTTCCATGCATCGATGGATCACTACTCCAGAGTCCGGGGAGATGGACGCTATGTATGGGCTGCAGAAGTGACTGCGACGAGAGCCATAGTCCAGCACTGCCCGCTGAGATCCCCGGTTCTGGAAATCAGCTCGTTCTCGAAGGTTGGAAAGAAGGCGTGGACGAGGAATTGAGCAATATAATGGCACACAGAGGATCTGGGATCGGTATTTGGAAATCGCTCCACGCTTGGGAGGGCGAGACACTGGTGTGAACGATAGGGGGGGAATGCTTACTGCTGCTGCTGCTCGAGGAGGGATGGCCAATTGATGGTGGACAGCTCAGACTCATTCCGAAGGCTTCGACGACAAAACCGCTCGGCGCCGCAATCGATCGATCGCTGCGAGTCCACGGCTTCCGTTACATACAACCCACACCCACATCGACGATGGGGAGAACGCCGAGACGAAGTGTAGCCCTTCCTGTGGTTATACTTCGCAGCTTGGCCGGTCATGCGAATCAGCGCCTCGTAAGAGCGGCTCACAGTGGGAGGAGAGAAGGTCAGAGTGGGACACCGCATGGGTCGAGTGGGCTTGGGGGTAAATCAGGGCTACAGCGACATCTTCTAGAAGGCAAAGGGCCATCTTCTAGAAGGGAAGGGGCGAGCTTGGGTATTGGATTTCCGCGATTGCCTTTGTAGGGGCATCTGACCACCTACAGCCTGCTCTGCTGGGGGTTCGGCTTCTAAAAGTCGGAAGTGCCTTCTCATATGAGCAATAGTTAGTATTCGTACCTCGTAGAATAATGCCAAGATTCAAACAGAAAGAAATCCTACCCAAAGTGCAGCTAAAAAGTGCTTACTTCATCCTGCAGAACGTTTGATTGTCCTTTATATACCAAAAAACATGACAGCCGTTATAGCAAGCTACGAGACTCCGTGGCGCAACGGTAGCGCGTCAGATTCCAGACCTGAAGGCTGCGTGTTCAAATCACGTCGGGGTCATACCTAGACACTCGAGCTTGCATCTTTTTAACTTCCGTTTGCGTCGGCTTGACTGTTAGCAGAATTTGTTTTTGGTTTTTGACCGGTGTCTAAGGACTGTGCGCAGTGAGCACTGAGAACGGGTCTAACTTCAGGGACACTCCTTCGGCGTTCAATCCCTGGTCATCGTACACAACCTTTGCCTGTGACCCACCATACAAGACAAGGCTGAGCATCTACACCTCCAGAGTAGCTCTTGTGACCAGCAATGTTTCTGACCATCCCTGGCGCTCCATGATTATCCCCCGATGGTCCAGCAGTTCAGTTTCGAATAGGTCTGCAGAATCATCCAAACAAGTTGGCAGTTTACACAGCTGAGGGGGCGAGAAAAAAAACAAACAGGAATTAGAATGTAAGCCGTGTTTTCTGGAAGCATGGAAGCATGGAAGCTACCAGGTATGTGTGTGAGGCTCTCTGCGGGTCTGAGGGGGGGAGGGGAGGGATTTCTCTTTCTACTCTGCTCTACTCTGCTGCGTGGCGCTTACCTACGGTAAGGCAATAGAGTAGTATCCGCTCATTCAATAATATGATGTTGCTTGCGGTCGGACGTCGTGTGACTAGACATGTATGTAGGATGTCCAGCACAAACACGGCTGCACCAGCCACATCATGGTTGGGCGAGCGAGTGATACCGACGCCGCCCTTTCTTTGGCCCTGGAGGCTGTAGAGGATCTGTGCGGTGTGTGTACATCGAGAGTAAATACTCTACTAGTACGTACTCTACATACTGTGATACGCGGGACCAGTCAGGGCAAACGCTGCTTTCCCCTCCTCCTCCCTTTCTCATCCTCGTCATCATCATCGTACGTTCCCCGCGCCCATACCCTGGCAAACGTATCACAATCTTCTTCCGCAGGTCCTCCTCCCACTGGCAGGCCCTACCTACTACCTAGAAGCTCAAACCTCAAGCCGGCTGCCTCCAGCGAACCGGACAGGGAAGGGAAAGGAAGAGGTCGGCTATTATTACCTTACGTTACCTCGCCTTCCGACCGCCGCCTGGCACCGTGACCACTACTCTACATACCACTATGCACCCACCAGTACCATGACCGCCATCAGCACCACTATCGCCAGCCGTCTCGACTCTCGAGTCTCACATACCCATTGCCCCAGCTCGCCAGCAGCCAGCTAGCCCTAAGCTGGAAAAGTAGATTGCGGAGAGACGGATTGAGGAGTTAGGGGGAAGAGATGGGATGGGATGGGATGGGAAAGGCGACGAACGCCATACCGTTGCGCGTGCAAACGCCAAATCGGCAGGCCCCTGGCCATTAATGCTAGTAGAGTAGCTGCTCAGCGTCCGTGCGGCGTGCGCACGCGAAGCGGTTCTATTACACACTCTAGTTACTAGTTAGAACCAACTAGAGTATATGCACGACGAAGCAACTGCATGTGAGTAGAGGAGGTATGCTCTAGATGGAGAGGGATGGATGGATGGCGATGGATGGCTCGATGGATGACATGTAGAGTAATTACTGTAGAGTACATAGGAACTTCTCCAGTAAGGCAAGCGCATGTAGCGGTACTACTAATTGATCGATACCCCAATCGCTGACACCTATGTACCAGCAGGGCAGGCCGTCGCTGTGATCGACATAGTACATTTAGGTAGGGAGTAGGTACTCACACCGGGTAGGTATTAGTTAGTAGTTACGCGAGCCGACGTTGCGTTTTTTGACGGGTCTTCTTGCTCGGTATGCGCCATACATCTCGGACGTGCATAGGTATGGTGCGGGCCGCTCGTAACGAAATAGTCTAGGAACTGCGTGGAATCCGTTCGGCGAGAGTAAATAGTGGCCGTGGATTTCGTGCACGTGGAGCGAGGAGGTTGCGAGATTTGAAGCTCACACCGCAGTCCCGGTTTTCGGCAAAATTAGAAGCACAGAGAGGAGCAGTCGGCGATCACAAAGTACCGCATCTATCTCTCACGACCGGGGCAGAGCCGAGTTTGGTACGTACTGTTATATCCCGGAGTTAGGTTACAGGAAGGAAGCTACCTACATACCTACGTGGTAGTTGGAGGAAGCGCGAGCCCCCCCCCCCCCCCCCCCCCCCCCCCCCTCCGTCACCTCACCGGTCGCCCAATTCGTAGGGCTATAAGCGGCTTCCATTAAATAGTAGACGGGAGATGGAAGACTCTCTGCATGTTTAACGTAGGTAAGGCGCATAATAACACCAGGGCATGATTGGGCGTGAATTCTGCCAAGCTTTACTCTCAGGTATGCTCTAAACTTTAAAGGTAGACGGGGAGTAGCTTTGAGAAGGAAAGTTGTTGTATTGGTCTTTGTTACGTACAAGAGTCATCCAGGAAGCATTGGAAGAGTTAATCAATCCACATAGTTAGGGTCATTGAAGGTATGACTCTAGTAAATGATCAGGAATGACTCTAGTCAATAATCACGACTGCACCCGCGCGTCGAACCTCATTTCAGCCCTACGTAAACCCCCAGGATCGAGGGCGTGTTCAACTAAGCATCGCTGTTAACTAACTGGAGTATCATGTACGAAATCTAGAGAGAGTGGCGGCAGAGATACCTAGTAATTTCGAGATTTCGGCTATCTACCAGACTGATTGATTGTCGATCGCAGTTACCGCTCACCGCTTTTTGCCCTGGCTAACGTCGGCCACTGCTTGTTAAAGCTGGCACGCTTTTCCGATTGGCTGCCTACAACGTTGACGACGGATTCTGTTCGTTCGTTTGCTGGCTGGCCACAATACCACCACCCTAGCTTTTCCATCCACCCACTCGCCTGCCTCCCCTCCCTTCGTAGCATATATATTTGTATCTATCCGCCCATCGAGATCACCAATCCAACCATCCAGCCATCCAGCCATCTAGCCATCCAGCCAACCTCCGATCAGCGAACAGTCCCGTCTTCAAGCCACAATCCAGCATCAAATCCGCCAGTACCACCAGCACCACCACCAGCACCAGCACCACCACCACCACCACCGTCACGATGGACAACCCCAACCCTCCCACCGCCGCTGCACAGAAAGCCGCAGACCCCAAGCGCAAGCCCAAGCCCGAGTCCAAACCGGCCGAAAACAGCACTCCCACTCCCACTCCCACTCCCACTCCCACTCCCACTCCCACTCCCACTCCCACTCCCACCGCTCCTCCCGCCGCTACTCCCGCCGCTACTCCGCCTGCTCCACAGCCCACGCCAAAACCGGAAGAACCCCCCGCATACACCAAAGTCGTCCGCTTCATCCATGACCCGGATGGCCCGTGGACGCCGATTCTGAACGCCAACACCGACTACGCAGCCGCTGCGGCGGCTAGGCTGGCGGACTTTGAGTGGCGGATTGGTGGGTGATGTGGTTCTTAGGGGACGGTGGTCGCTGAGGGGGATGGGGATGCCACTGCTGTGGATGGAGAGTAGCAGTGGAGGTGCAGTGGAGAGTGGAGGCGGTAATGGTCACTGGCGTGTTGGGTTGTATTTTGTGGCAGCGTTTCTTACGGCGAGAAGAGGCGGGGCCGGTGGGACGGTTGAACGGACTACGGTTGGACAATTGGACGAAAACAGGGCGAACGGCGGATGGATGGCAGTGGATCTTGTACTATCATCTGTTTCCTTTAGGCTTTCCTTTCCTTTCGGCAATCTTGTATTACTCCCCTTCCCCCCGGGCCCTCCCTACTACCCCGTATGTAAGACGTGAGCGGTTTGTTTCCGACAGGGTCGGGGGGTGTGTCGTCCGATATCTACTCTCGATTGGTAGGATCTACATACGTACTTCTTACCTACTCTGAAATAAACAAAACGTGTGGTCCTACCACACTCTGCTTTCTGGAACCCTGGAACTCTAAAGCTCTGGAACATGGTTCCCTAGCACAGATGAATCGCAGTGGAAATACTAGTACTTGTGCAATTACACATATGCACGGCATGCAGTCTGTGCAATTACACATATTCACGGCATGCAGTCTGTGCAATTACACATATGCACGGCATGCAGTCTTCATGCACGTTGGGTGGTGATGTATGTCGGATCAGCTGCGCACAGCCCAAATCGCACCTTGCATATGACTAGCATCACCTACTATACATAAGCCCAAAATGAACCATGCACGGTCGATTTACATAAATGCATATACAGATGGAGATCATCAACAGATTTCGTAAGTATAAAGTTACGTATCTACAGAACATGAAAACAAACACACTGGTACTAGTAGAGTACTCGGTATACGTAGGCAGGTCAAATTAAGTAGGAATATCAAAAACCCAGAGCCCAGAGCACCGAACCCCCAACTCCATACCCCATACCCTGTACCATGGCCATGCCCAAATATAACGATTGTAAACGGGCTGTTGTTGTTGTTGTTGTTGTTGATGTTGTTATTGTGAGTTGTGAACCGTGCATTGCGCGAAAGGCAGAGGAGTTTCACGGGTTCAACCAAAGGTCTCCGGTCGGCTCCGGCAGTGCAACAGGGCCCGGCCTAGCCAATCCAATCTTATTGGAACTCGACACGATTTCCGGCAACTCCGCCGGCAACTCTCTACACCATACCGCCACGACCAGCCCCACCACCATGGCTGTTTCTAGCTTAACAGCCCCCGATAAACGGCTGTGCTTGACAGCTTACCTGAGTGTGGGCTTTCCCCATGCCTTTTATCACCTTTTATCATTAGCGGCTTCCATATCGTCTCGGATGCGGTAGACACTTCATGCATACGCGCGGAATGTGTCGCTGTAGCTAGACGATATGTACCCGTGGGTTCGTGTGCGCATCTACTACAGCATCAGCGTATATGCCGCCCACCGCACCCAGCCTCATCGAGACACCCAAAGCCGTGCGTGAAACAGGAATCCTCTGCTTTCCTCTGCTTCTCCTCGGGGCTCTGCCGACGACCCGACCACGTCTGCCACGGCCCACAGTGCATCAATAACGACAACGACAACGAGGCAGATTCCGGCTCCCAATGCGCCCCACCACCAGCACCACCAGCACCAGCACCACCGCAAAAAGTCCGCAGTTGCCAGTGGCCACCTATGTCTCAAATGTCAAATTTTTATCCGCAAGGCAGACTCCAATCTAATCTACACCTATTCGTTGTCCGTACATAGAAACGCCGTGATGGATCATGGGGGAAGAAAAAAAAGGACAAGTTACGCTTAATATACACAGCCTTGTGGGTATGCATAGAGTGGGTAGGTAGGTAGGTAGGTGATAGCTCGGTGACCGGGGAACCAGCACCAGCACCAGCGAGAGGGAGGGAGGGAGAACCTCGGGGTACTTATTATGTAGAGTAAGTAGAGTAGATACGGTACTTGGTCAAGTAGGCGCATGCGAGAAGTAAAAGCAAAACTGAAAAAAAGAAAAGAAAGAAAAGCGAAAAAGGCAATGCTGATCGGGATGATATCTACTCGGATGGGTGGCAGATTTGTACCTGGACGCATCCATGATCCTACATGGGCCACATCTGCGAGGAAACAATCAATACCGGATGTACCGCCCCCCGCCGTTTCCCCCACATGCGCCGCATAGCATAACCCAAGTAACTACATAGCCGAATTTTTGGTGAAGAGTGTCGAAGGAGAAACACCCTAATCTTGAGTCAGAGAGTATACGCAGCAGCAGCGGCGATGCGTCCACCTTCCCAAGCCGAGCGACTGGTACATAACCCCTCATTTGTGATATGTACCACCTATACCTACGTGGATCCAAGTCGATGTGATGTGATACCGCGTCCGGATACCTCCAGGTTGTACTCTCACCAAACGAGCGATTGGAAAAAGTACGGTACGGTACGCTACGGTACGGTACGGTACGGTACCGTGGCCCATGGATGGGAAACCTAATTCCAACTCTGCAGTTGCATAGCCTGACGAGCAACCCATCGTAGCTTCGACATGGTAGATACCATTCAACCTTCCGAGGCCTTTCGGTGACGTCGATCAAGGGCCTTGCAAGTAATGTGAGGTAGTAGGTGAACGCGCAACGGACCCGTTTAACGGATGCCGATGCGATGGTCTTCGGCGGGCGGAGCCGCTACCGGGTCGCATTGACACAGTACTAGGTAGAGTATGTTGTACTCTACTCGGCGAGAACAGCCAGCGGCTATGTTTTAGCCAACCGTTTCTACGGTTGAGCTCAAGTCACAAAGAATTCAAGAATTTGGATAATCGCGTGGAATCCCCCAACTCGGGACGCGCTCAAAAGTTCGTCCCGTTTCTCGATGATACGGAGACACTTTGCAGGCATCTTTCCTCCAAGAAACGCTGCGTGACACAACCAGGCGGCTCGCGGGCTTTCTGGTGGTAAAAAAAAGTCTTGACTCTCGAGTTGAAACCGGCCACGAAAATTTGCACACGTATCAATAAGAAAGAATGTATTTGCGGGTGGAATCGCAGCGACTCGTCTGTCCGTTCTTGACGAAGAGAGGGTGGGTGGTTCGCCCATCCGCAAGTCCATGACCCGTCACTGTTTATTGGATGGACCTCCAGGCAGCAGCTGTGCGGATCAGTGTTTTGCGCGCCATCGGGCCCGCGTTCATCCCCACGATCGAAGTGGGCGTGTCGAAACGGCTGCACCCCCCAACTTTCCCGGATGACCTAAAACTCTGTTCCCCATAGCCACCGATCGCACCGATACACAGCGTGCCGGCGTATGGTTAGTTGCGCTCTATTCATAGGGTCAAGTGAAAGCAGCGCCCAGTCGGCTTGTGTGTAGGTGAATGCATTTAGAACTCAGTGCCCCCCACGTTGAGCCTACCGAGACAAGTTGGCGGAGTCGAGTCCAGTAATCCAGACCCGCAAAGGTCCCGCGACGAGTTCAATCATCCGATGTGACCATGAGTATTAGTGCGTTGGCAATGTGTCTATGGAGGTGTAGCTCGATTCGTTCGCGGAAGTACAACCTGATTGTGAGGAGGAGGCGGAACCGCAGCATGGGTGCCCTCGATACACTGGCTGGGCCCCTATAGTAATTAGTTGAGTCCATCGTCAGTAGAAGCTGGATGGGACAGAATAATTTTTTAAATAGAGCCTACTTCTCCGCATCACCCTCCATCTCCTCGAACCCCACAACAAGCAAGCTGGTCAAGTAAAGTCCAAGTCCAACCCCTCTTCGTTTGTTTTCCTCCTGCAATTCATTAGCTTTCGTCCTGCCCATCGCCAGGCGTGGTCTCATAGCCGTAAGATCCAACGGGGCGAGAAAAAAAAAGGAAGAGAGGCAATCGAGCACAATCCGCGAGATTCGTCGAATCCGAAACGCCGCAACACCGAAACATCCATCCGCCATCCTGCCCTTCCCCCTTCCCGCAACAACACAAGCATTTCTTCGACTCCGAAACTCGCAGACTCGCCGTTATTGCTCGGATCCGAATTCGCATCAATCCACACGCGCTTCCGTCTAGAATCCGAAAATCCGCGACAATGCCGGCCCCGAATCCTCGCCACGGCAACACCGCCGCCGCCGCAGCAGCAAACTTCCACAACTCCAACCGCGATGCTCTTTCGACGTACGTGAAAACGGCGACGCAGGTGAACAAGAAAGAGTGCGTCTGCGATTTCCTCAACGACCCCGAGAGCTTCAATCTCAACGTTAGCCTTGCGCACGAACGGGAGGCTCGCATCGCACGAGAGATTGATGAGTTCGAGCGAAAGTTTAACCGGTAAAAAATGAAGCAGGGATGAGGATGAGGATGAGGAGTAGGAGGAGCAGGAGCAGGAGAAGGAGGAGGAACAGACCCATGCGGCGACCCGGTTGGAATTCGCCTCCCTACCTACCTATGTCGTACTTCGCAGGATCGAGCCCTCCAACGCTAGATTCATCATATGTATGATCACCCTCCTGCCGAGCCGTTCCCGAGTTGTCGTCTAGCCACGCCGCCGCACAAGGGTCCGAAGTGGGGATTTGGCAGTAACGGTGATGGGAAAGGAGGGCGGGAAAGCAGGTTATGGCGGAGAAATACTGGGGATATATGCAGCGTTCCCGGATTACCCCGTTCCGTGGTGGCGGGAGGGGTGGAGGGGTGAAGTGCATGAAAAGGAAAGAACAGGAGGGGAAATGCTAGTGGGGATATGGAGGTGCAGTGGGATACGAAGGTGTGGCAGGAGGTTTCATATATGCCGGCAACGGTCGTGGAGGGGGGCGCTGTCGTAGAGGAGGAGCGATGCTCGATCGAAAGAGAGATCGGTGATAACTGGTGATGGGAGGTGGCATCGGTCGGTATTGAACCACAAACAACAGCGATGCGATTCCGTTCTAATTTCCTGCGTTATAGATTCAGTGTTTTTCTCTGTTGTTCTTCTTCTTCTTCTTCATTTCTCTTTGCGGTTCTATGATTTAACTCTCTTTATTGAGGTTTTGGCAAGAGGGGGTAAGGTGGGAGGAGGGGAAGGGGGGTGGGGGAAGTTATTCTAGTGGGGGTGGGGAAGTTACTTTGGTGGAGGAGCATGCACTCATCTGAATCAAACATTCACTGCAGTGTCTTTGTTTTAGATCAGGTACTGTCGTTAGAGGTCGAGCCGAAGTATATTGTTTGTAATAAATCGGGCCGCTTATCCATGGGCCGAAGAGGTCTAGAGTCGAAATTGAGGCCAAAACTGACGCGAACTCCACCCCGCCCACTCAGGTGTGCAAACGCGGCAGTTGCTCGGACGATCCTATTCGTTAGAAATATAAGTAATGTTCTTGGATGGTGTCCTACAAACTGGCCAGATAGCGAGTCCAAGAAGCAACTTGGGATGCACTTGGCAGTCATGTCTCGATCTCCACCACTCTCTTCTTTCATTCAAGATACCTTCACTCCTCAAACCCAATACACCACCCTCCCCCGATTATTTGAACGTTGGATTTCCCTTAGGTACGAAGTGCGCATGCTGATCGATCGATCCCGGGTTTGCTTGTTCTGGATTCCGTCCCCCTTCCCCCGCGAACTGGTACTGCGGCTGAGGTGTACACGTACAGTTGGAGCGTTGAGAGGCCGCCCCGAGAATGTTCTGCGGTGCAGTTCCTTCGAAGGCTGGCACGAGTCGCACGACTTCTCGTGTTGTCGAGCTGTCCCTATATATGCCCCAGGGGGTGGCGAATCGCGACCACCTACCTATCGACGTCAGCGGAACAACTCGCAACGCCCCTGGAGGAACAAGCAAGTGGCAAACAGAACAACAGAACAACAAAAGCAAAAGTTGCCAACAGACTTGAAACGAGCACGGCATCTGATACTCGAAACGAATCATATGGCGCGGCAACAACACGGGACAGGTATGGAACTTCGCTTCTCGACTTCCATGCTTCGGCTTATATTCACTCGTAAAGGGCTGATATATGCATAAAAGCTCGCGACGGATTCGTCTCTGCATCGGGCAACAGAACGCAGAACGCACGGCCAGCTGGCTTTCGGATAGGTAGGGGGTGGTTATCCACGTCCGGTTGGAAAGCTAAGTGTGCAGCTGTTGGAAGTTGGCCGCCAAACCACAGGAAAAGGACGCCAGTGACGTCTTTGCTACAGCCCTCAGTCCGATACTAGGAGCCGCTGCAGACGAGAACCTTAAAAGGATCTCTGCAGATATACACTGAAGCGGAAGTCCGGTGGTGCCCCCGCTCCCACCCCCTGGTCGAAGCCGTGGCATTCGATGTCACGACCGAGTTGTCGTCCCGTCTGACGGCAGCGGCATTCTGTTCAGTCATTCTCCCTGATCTGAGCCGGGCTGGGGAACAGGCCGATATGTAGTTAAACCCCAGCCGGCTCGCGGCATCTTGGCAGGAACCTTGACGCCTCCGCCATTTGCGAAAGACAAATTTTAACTCCCGATTGGCCCCGGCCCCCCACTTGGTTGACGGGGGTCTTCCACCGCTGATGCTGCCCGAGCACACGAACGGATACCAATCAACCTGTCTCGATCAGCACGCCATCTCCGAGAGGCACTAGCTCGAAGCGCTGTACTCACACTTCTTGGGACGATCTTGAGCTTGGACATCCTGGTCCGATCCTCGGGCGGCCAGCAACTCGGACCGGCAGTGGGTCGCACTAGCACCGCTGCATCCAACATAGCGGTGTCGCCTGTTGGTAATGATGTGTTCGTCGTGGGCGACGGTCCCGGAACGCTCTCCCGGAACGCTCTCCCGGCGGTTGTAGTCATCGGCACGGTCTCGCGGTTTCATCGGAGAGGAGTGTCACTGCAAGGGATTTCTGGAGCGTCTTTGAAGTCCGAACGTCGGCCTATGTTCCGATGGTGTTTGTTAGCTCTTAGCATGAGGGCCGGCACACACGGAACCGACAAAGATCTGCATACCCGAGACACACTGGACCAGGAAACAATGTTCCGACATCCACTTCCACTTCCACTTCCACTAGCACACGAACTAGCGAAGCCGGTTTCGGCGAAATATAGAGCCTGTCCTCTATTACGACCTCTCTTCCGGTTGCCGTTCCAGTCCTGGATATATCCCGAACCCTCAGGGCGGTGTGTTTTCAGCGGCTCGTGATGGGAAGCTGAACGGCTAGGTACCGACTGGGGGCGTCCACGTCCACCGAACGAGCTTAGCCTTTCGAAATCGAAATCATCGACGACCAACCGATAACTAGCGAGTTAATTGCGCCAGGGTTCCGAAGGACCTGTCGGTCGGTTAGTCGGTGGAGCGGCGTGCCTTGCCATGGGGGGCGGGGGGCGGATTAATCGCGTTCCGTTCCTCGGGGGAGAGGGAGCGGGCCGCGTCGAGCGGCGAGACTGTTGCTGGAGGGTCAGAAGGGTCCGAACAGGAGGAAGATGAATGTTACATACCCACATCCCATACAGGAAGAACCGACGCCTTGTACTCGTCCAGCGCAGCAGCAGCCCAGCACACCTTCCTCGCCCTACCTATCAAAACTCCCGGCAACCAACAACCGCCATTCGTCCTTTACCGTGTTGCCTAGGATTTTGCTTTTCTGCGGGCGGCTGGGTGTACATACGGTACTGCACATGGGGATCTACATCATACATATCATCGGACGAACGGTCAACTTTCAACAGGGAGCAGAGACGGAGGGGCGCCTGAGGCCTTCATGTGAACAGTGCACATCGCTTCGGCCGATACCAGTTGCCCTACACGCCATTCATACATAGGTCTTGACTTGCAAGCATGGCCTGTCCATAACTAACTAACTAGTTACCGTAGTCATGGCTACTAGTACAAGCATGGCGTCCCAATTAACCGGTAAGCTTTGTTGGAGATGGAACTGGGTCGCCGATCAAGTATCATCTACATATGCGGCGTAAGTTTCATCCCCTAGGTACAGAGGGTTCGGTGGATGAAGGAATATCATCCAGCTCTGAGCGCTATGTACCTAAAGGGCGGTTACATGGCTGACTGAAGAGATCCAGAATGTAAATACCCTAGGTAACAACGTTGTCGGATGTATATGTCCGTCCCATCTCACCGTCGGCGTGTGTTGACATGATACCCTGCGTCAAGCAAAGGATCTCAACCTGGTGGGTTCCCTGACGATTGTTACACATTCTTTAGCTATCTTCAGCCACCTTACCACCTTACATTCTTCGGTACCTAGGTAGCGGGCTGTCTTGTGGCAGAACATACTAATATTTGGCCTAACTATAGTTAGTAGTAACGCATATGCCAATGCTATTTACATAGGACCATTGGTAGTAGGCAGCCGAGAAAGCGATGATTACATATTCGATTTCTACAAAACAGAATGGCAGTTACTTGTGACATGGAATACCGGTAGTAGCATCGACAAGGTCAAAATACGTGTTTTGATGTCTGATACGATCTTAATAGAGTATCTGTGGGAGCGGGAAACGATGTTGTTTCGCCCTCCCCTGAACTATGCCGTAAAATGGTAGTGCCAACGTATTTTCAAAAACAATGGTAGTGATTTCGTATCAGTACGGTCATAATACGTATTTTTCTGCCCGGATACGATATCAATATGCGTCCAGCGAGAAACATCGCATTTCTTACCCCTCCCCCTTGACTATACAGTAGTTAAAACCATATCGGGACTCGGGAGGGCACTTGATCACCGGGCACCTACAACAGCCGTGATACTACGGGGCAAGGGATGGATTATGTAAATATGTACTGATTGGCGGCTACTGATATGTATCATACATACGCTATATAGTATAACTGGACGTCTGCTTAAACGATATAAACAGTCACTTGGGCACATCACCTCGGCCTTGATATATTGAACCTACGTCGTCGTCCCATTGTTGTTGCTTTTTTTTTTGCTTTTGTCTTTAATAGCTAGCTTCTGCGTCTAGTAGCCGAATAAGTACACTGTCGTATAGTACGGTAGATATCGATAGCGGCCAGCGCATCACATCACCGCGATCGCCACATGCGTCAACTACTCTAGCCCTGCCAAACTTGGGTGTGCGGTGAAGAGGTGAACAACGGGGGTCTGGGATTTGCCAGATAATACTCTAGGTAGCGAGTGGCGTGCGCTGCGCACGTGAGCAGATGATCGCGCGGTGCTGGGTACCGGTACCAACTAGAGTAGGTATTGCCCGGCGGTGTATGTATTCACCTCTCGTCCCACAATCCACAGCCCGCTGCAGTGACCAGTAGTACATATGCACCGAGCCATCGCCGGCATTCACAACTCAACCGCAGGTTTACGAACAGGCCTCGCCAACAGCCACCCGCAGAAAGCATCCAGCACGCACACGGGTCATCATACGATCTACTCTAGAGTACGCTCGATACTGTGCCCATGGTAATCAGCAAGCTCGAGCACCAGATCAGGTCTCAGATCAGCTTCTATCAGATCTTCCCACGAGCCATGGCGAGAATATCTGCTACATAGTGGTTGCTCCTAATAATATGTGTTCGATAGTTGATAAGAAAGGTACGTAAGGCGGCGTGTCGGCGAGAAGTGTAAATGCCAGCTTTCAGCACGTTCTTCAGAATTATATGACGGATGCGATAACTTTGAAGGATATAATAGGGAATGCACTCGCTGTACACTTTGTTATTGCCAGCAGGGTCGCTGGTCACTCTTATCTTATCAATTTCCGGCCCACTCTACCGTTCGGATCTCGACTACATGCAAATGAGTATCGGACGGGCAATCTTGACGCCCCCGCTGGCAATCAATCGATCATACCGGGACTCCTTTACTCTACTCAAATACCACAAGAAATAAAAGTAAGAGATCGTGTACAGAGTCAGAATAGATGATTAAATACCCTCACACCCGAGTACAGGTGGCGGTGATCTTCCGCGTAAACAATTTAGTAAAAAAGGCTAATTCTGCTGTCCGTTTGTCTCACTTCTCTTGCTCAGTCTCGACCAAATGGTTCGCACGTCATTTATCGGAGGTTAGGGTTGCTGGTGGCCAGAGGGGGGGGGGGGGGGGGGACAAGGTATCCGTTCGAGCTTGGCGTTTTACCACGATTTGCAACATTTTTCTCGCAGGGTCTGACTTCTGCCAAAGCTATCAAAGCTAGCGGCTCGGCAACGGTCATACTAGAGCCAGCTATCACCATCGCCAACCGCCGTCAGCAGCAGCTCCTGTCAAGTTTCAACGCTTCACTCACTCAGTATGGATCGCCTCAAATCTATGTCGAACGCCGTCAAGGAGCGGATACCAGGGCAAGAGCCGAAGTCGTCGTATGCGGGGTACGGCGACTCACGGAAATCGACTCCTCCCGGCCGCCTCCGCAGCTCCACGTCCGAGGGAGGGTTGGGCGAGCGGTTTACGGGCTTGGTGAAGCGCGTTACGGGCAAAGATGAAGAGGAAGAACGAGTTGCGCGTCCAGTGGCCGCTCTGAAGGATCCAAATTCCTTCGCGCCTCCGCCGAAGCACCGTGCTGCCTACGGAGACGATGTGGCCTCCGCCTCGATCCGTATGGGCTCCCAGCCCCCGCCTGTGCCTACGAGAAGGGCTACGATTGAAGATGGTGCGAGACCCCCGCTACCGCCGCGTCTGCCGCCGAGAAGGTCGCCGGCTACGGATACTACTGCTGCGTTTCCCGAGGAAAGACAGGTTTCGGGAGAGGATTTGGCCCACAGAGGTGGATTGAGCTCCGGCTCCGTCGGTGCGCTTAGGCGGTTGGGGAATTCAGGGATCACGATTCCCGGGTTCGAAACGACCAGCTCTACGAAGAACCAATCCTCCACGAAGACGTCCATACTGCCACCGCCACCACCATCACCTGGAAGTCGTCCTTCCATCAGCTCCTTAGGAGACCGCTTCTCAAAGTCCAATCCCGAGGCTCCAGCTACGGGTACCACCTTCAAAGAGAAGCAGGCAGCGATCAAAACGGCGAACTCATTCTACAAAGACCCCACGAAGGTTTCATTCACAGACATGAAAGCTGCAGCTGGTACCGCTAGGAACTTTCAGCAGCGTCATGGAGAGCAGGTCGCCGAGGGCGTAAGGGTCGGGAACAAGCTGGGACTGATCCCAGGCAATGCCGAGACACCACCAGAAGCCTCTCATCATGAACCCCCACCGACGCCAACGCGGGCACATATCGAACCCCCGCCGACGCCAACGCGGGCACATATGCAACCCCCACCTCTTCCCGCGAAGAAAAAGCCACCGCCACCCCCGCCGAAGAAGAAACCGATATTAGCCACACCGAGCCCCCCACCTCCGCCGATCCCTGCAGCCTCCCGCCCGCATCAGTCATCATCTTTAGCAAAATGCTCCTCGTTGCCCAATTGCGGTCATCCAACCGACACCGTTTCGGAGCTCCCATGCGATTTAGATCTTTCCCTCGAGCAGGAATGGTTCACCACATCTTTGATGCGCTTCCCGCCGAGCATTCACAACAATCCGTACAAGGCGTATCGCACATCCAACTCCTGGACACGCTCAGCCGCTGGACGCGCCAAGCACACGCTGCTACTCTCACTCCTGTGGACGCAAAACCTCTCCTATACGCTGATCAGACTAACCTGGGATGCATCTGCGCCGGCCGCCACCGTCAAAGCGGAGCAGCGTCACTTCCCGCCTCCGCCTCCTCTTTCCGCACAGGAGCTGCACACACAGGAAGGCCGGGGGCACGAAATCGTCGAGTGGTGCGAACAGAGAATAGGCACTCAGGTGGGCAATGGCGAGTGCTGGACTCTGGCGCACGACGCACTCGAAGCCACTGCGGGCCTCATGTCGAGCCAGCAAACAACGCACGGAGCCTGCATCTTCTCCCACTATCCCCCCTCACCTCCACAAAAAACCGAGGGTGTCGACATCCGACGTGGCGATATCCTGCAGTTCCTGAGCGCAAAGTGGGTTTACCCTGACGGGGGATGGACTACGGCGGGTGCTCCCGACCACACGGCCGTCGTTACCGATGCCTGGAAGGAGGGAGAGACGTGGGTGTGTGAGGTGCTCGAGCAGAACGTCGGCGGGGTCAAGATTGTGCAGACTGGAAAGTATCGTCTGGGTTCAGGCAGCGGCATGTGTCAGGGGGGCGTCAGAGTTTTCCGTGCTGTCGAGGACGAGAGAGGCTGGCATAGGGGATGCTCGGGTGGTTCCAGCGAACCTCTGGTCTGGGAGGAATAGAAACCGGAGCAATGGATAGATATGGAGTATGAGTTGGCGAGATGAGCAATTGTTCATCCGTCACTATGTTATGTAGCTATGAGGTTCGCTCGCGATGAGCGGAGCGAGTGATATCGGAAAAGCTTCGAGAACGGCTTTGTCTCCGCAAAACGTGGGGTGGTATGTGGTCAGCAAGCATGATTTGCGGTATATAATTCCTTTACTCTGTCGTCCTTCCTTTTTGTCTGTATGTTTGTTTACGAGAAAAGCATTAAACACGGCGGAAGCCTGAAGGCCATCATCATCTATAAATAGAATCTGAATTTTCAAGAGCTGTAGTAGAAGTTACGGAGAAGTTAGAACATTTGTTAGGTATCTGACCAACGATCTTTCACAAGCCTCAAACATCATCATATGTACTCGGGTGCAAGGGTAAGTGGTGCACCCCATCAGGCACCATTGGTAATGGTGATGGTGCACGACTTTCCCTCACACCCGAGTACCAACACTTGGCAGCCAAGTACCTGGGCAGTTAAAGATCTGATCAGTTAGCTTCCAGGCTGACTGACGACTTGCCCGTGCTCCGATCCGATTCGATACTACAAGTATACCAACCCCTGGTCCGTGAATTGGTAGATTCATGGAATGAAGCTCGGAGAGTCGGAGCCTCGGAGGTCCCATCTTGATTCATGGCCCTTCCTTCGAGCCCCGGTGATCCCTCTGTCTTCTGGGTTGGAAACTACGGTAGTTACGAGTGCTGTTGACGGGCCTTTACGCGGCCAAAAGCTCCCGCGTTATTCAGTCGTAAACTCCAGCTCAGCTACAGTGTCCCCAACGCGCCCCGGAATCTTTGGCCAGTCAGACGAGTGTTCTGCCGGTCGACGACTCGGCGGCACAGGATGCTCAGGCTTGAAGTACTACAGCATGCCTGGCTATTGGATGAAAGCCTGGAAGGCCTAAGTGCTTTTTTTGCATACATAGGTACATACGAGCTGAAGTCATCCAACAACTGTGCACCTTGAAAATAAAAGGACACGAACAAGGTTGAATCCTACCCGCACATGCACGGATGCCAGCCAGAGGCGTGCTTGCTTTGCTCTGGACGACATCGAATGACTACCGCAGTCGAAATGGTCGCGTGTGTCATGGATACGAACCCCCCCTTGTAAATGGTACCATATGGAGCCCAGCCATTGATTGCGTATGTAGCACCGTGCTGTGAGCAATCCTTCGCTGCTTCTGCGCTTGCTGCAGCGGTACGTTGCGGGCGGGGAAGGGGGATCCTTGACTGTACGTCTATTTACAGTTTCCAGGGCTACGTACAGCAGAACCTGGGACGCCTGGATTACCCCGGACTCCCAGAGGAGTCAGAGACGCAGGCAAGCGTAGAGAAAGCCCCCACCGAAGCGGGACCACACAGTCACGACAAGATGTACGGTGATAGGTTGATAGGTACGACCAACCGTAGCCTGCAGCGGGGATGCCACATGCGCAAGATCGACGATTTGGATGCCGGGAGGTCGAGGGGCCGTGTTCGTGTATGCTGCTCCGAGTTTCCTTCCCGAGGATCGTGTCGTTTCCACTGGTTGAAACTTCGGCTGCAACATTGGCGGGGTAATAGAGATACCATCATTTCTCACAAACGATGCAGCTAACCATAAGCCTAAGACCCGACGCTGTTTGCTGGGGGTCGACTCTCGAGCACCTTCTCTATCACCATTGGGCCGTATGTACGGTGCGGTAGCTGGAGCCTGGGATCGCGAAATGAGGCGGTAAAAACGAGACCGTTCATAGCACCGAGATCCTCCAGTAGGAAGGAAGGTAGTCTCGATCTCGTGATGCTCGGGCAAGACCATCCAATAGCAAAAATGAAGGGCGGGGGCGGACTTTAAGCACCGATCATCAATTCGCGATGCTCGGCCATCGACTGCACTCTACTAATATATCATGCCTACTGGTTGACTAGTAGACATACGTCATTCTCAGGTCGATTTTCGTCTGATGTTCTGCAAACGACGACCGTCTGCCCCTAATTCATTCACTTGGATCGCGATGTCTTGGGTTCATACGGTTCGAGCGGATTTAATCTCTCTCAAGAAAACGACTCGACGCTGTGGGTTGAAGCTGGATTTAAATGTTTCTGAGGCTTGAGCTTCCATGGCGGTACTCTACATATCTACCGGTATCAAACGTGGAACTCCCGAAGCTTTGCATATCCCGTTGCGGTACATACCTACATGGTACTATAGGTAGCTGCGTGAGAATCACACCTGCATGGGGAAGTGTTGAGTGAGTTTTGAGTGTTGAGTCTGCGAGTCTGCCTTCAGGGCCAATCGCTTCTCCATGCTCGGAAAGAATACCTGTACTGTAGTGAAGTGCTCGACGGTGTGTGCGCCGAGGCACTTTTTTTTGCGGACATCGGGAGAGGCCGGGAAAGGCTCGACAGCTGAAAGGATGAAAATCGTCGAGGTCCGTATCGTCCACGAAGTCTTCACCGCAAGCCACGGGAGCGGTTGTGCGTTGGCTTTCGGGACGTTTCATGGACTTTTGCAAAGCTGTAGTTACATACTGTAGCCTGTAGGTATACTCAGAACTGACTCCTGAGTTTTCTCCATGCTTCTTCTTCTTCTTCGTACTCTTGTGAACCGGCAGACTGCATGCAAAAAATCTCCAAAAAACAACATATCAACTTACATAGTGGCTGCACGATTATATTTTCCTTGCTACAGGATCGCTATATAATATAACCACACTACCTATTACACCTACCGAACCATTTATCTGCCGATTAATATGCAATGCATCATGCTACATATGAGCTGCAAGAGAAGTATGTAAGTACTTACCTTGCACCTATGTAACTACCAAGTGGGACTGTCGACTGGGCTCCCTTCCCGACACTCTACCTACCTACCTACCCCCTCTTCCCCTCTGAGCCTGTGGACGATCCCAACATACCTTGTACCTAAGTTTTGGCCCGTCGAAACACTCCGTTTAAGCCAGGCCGGGGCGATCGGAGGACAGATATCACTGAACATGAGCAGTGAGCATACAAACGGCCTAGTTACGGGCCTCACAATACCCCCCCACCCACAGTAGGTAGTAAGTTCGCAAAATCGCCGAGGCTTTCGGATTGCTCATATGTAGCTTACCTATTATTCAGGCTATTACCCAGGGGGACGACACGTCACAAAGGGCGAATTTTACACGTTGCTGCCGGCCCGGCCGTACTCCACTACATCAAACGGCTGCGCCCATGAATAGTAGGTATAGTAGTCCGACCCCCGCGGTTTTTGCAGGGTGAGGCTTTCGACTCTTTGAGGGACCCTCCCCCCCGATGTGCTCTGGAAAGAAAGGCCATTCGTCTTTCCACCTCACCTCACCGAGTCCAAAGTAAGTACTCTATCGATCATACTCTGTTCTAGTGGGTGTGTACGTTCTGTCCGAGCGGAGTGTTGAATGCTTTATTTATTGACTGTCGGATAGATAGAAGAGCCCCCATCTAATACACTATTGCCAGATGGAATGGATGGACGGGCAATCTCTTTGCACTTCACAGGCCCTTTTCTATCCATCTTCACTGCTCAACCACACAACCGGGGGACACCACGGGGACACCACCTTCGGCCGGGCGGCCGGCCATCATTCATTCATTGTGCGTATGTATGTACCGTCCAGCAGGAAAGCCTTGACGGAGGGCTTGTTCGGGTTATTTCGTTTCGTTTGGACAGCAATAAATGGATGAGGTCGTCGTTTGAAGCTTGATTCCGGTACATACCGTTCGAGGGCCTTCTTTTTTTGAGTGATGAGCTTCTTCACGACCTGTGTCCGTTGTCGGCTTTCCAAGGAAAGGAAAAGTATCCATCACCGTACCTATCACCGTATCGACTCTCGGGTACCTAGCCGGCTGGCGGGCAGGGAGCATCGTGTGTTCAACTTGCGGTACGCACCGCGAGTACATAGCAAACTCGTTCTCGAGCAGATCTTTCCGTCGAGATCCCAGGACTACCGTACCTATCCATTGCTTTCGCCCGTGTGTGTATGCTTCAATGGGTATGATGGCGAATGATGGCGACGCTGTACATACTGATTTCAATCACAGCAAGTGCCATCCGACTTCCACCAACCCAGACAGAACGTTTGGCCAACTCCGGGATTGTTGATTTTTTTTTCTTCAGGTGCGCCGGCGATTCGGTGATGGTGGCTGGCACTGTCTGACTGAATGCCCGTTGTTGCATAGACAAGCTAGTAGCTGTAGGGGCCGTGCCGATGTCTGGGACGTGGAACGAGATTGGGCGGTTCTACTCTACTCTATGATGATCCGGATTCGTTCGCTAGATGAGTCCTAACTAGTTCACGAAGATGTTGGGAGCTAACGGAAAAGAAGCCCAGCACATACATACCCAACCTCTCACGATCTTTGGCCGGGATGGCGTCCCTAGGATTTGCCCACATGCTCCGGAGAGTACTAGTATTGCAGAGACGACGTCTCCAGCACTAGGTATGTAGTATGACTCCATTCCTGTTGCTTGTGAAGAATTTCCTTTCCTTCCTTTCCTTCCTTTCCTTCCTTTCCTTCCTTTCCTTCCTTTCCTTCCTTTCCTTCCTTGCCAGCATGGATACCTATCTGACTGTTGTTTTCATAGTAGAGGAGTACCCTGAAGAAATCGATGTTTTTAGCTCGCAGGTGCTACTGAGTTAGGGCGAGTCCAACGTTTGCACGTGCGCCCTAACTGCCTATTACGTATGCCTGGCGTTGCAGTTCTTAACCCCCTCCCCCCCAATGCCCACTCCTCCCAGGCCCTTCCCTTTCATCCATCTCGACACCGTCCATCCCCTCAGTTACCACCGTTCCCCGGACGGCCGAGGAGAGGAGAAAAGAGAAAAGAGAAGACGGACGCCCTATGAGCACGAGTCATACGACAGATGTGCACGTGGAGTCTGGAGATGCACTCATCTACCACCTATAGCTTCACCATGTTTTCCAGGATCGGGGGCCAATATCGTACCGTACCTACCATGAATCTTCGGCTTCGGCTTTTCATACGCGTTCGGGAAAGCTTCTACCTACCTAGGTGGCTTGATTGGGTTGGGATCATCGAATGAGCTGGCCACTGGTTGCCTGTCTGGCTTTCGAGGAGCATCATCCGAGAAATCCTACCGTACTGCAGGAAACTGCCCACTCGGAAAACATGCGAGTCTACCTACCTGGGTATGCTATATGAGCCAGCCCCTCCAGATATAACATTATTCCCCCCAGCGGCGTAACAGCCCAAACCGGTCACTGGTCACTGTCTTGGTGGCGCAACCCATACCTACCTGATGGATGCATTCCGATGATGGCGATGGCAACGGACCGCCGCCAACACCACCAAGAGGTTCAGATTAGCAAGTAATCGAAGCGGATAGATGGGTGGCAAGTGTGGTCGGAGCACAGCCTTTGTGCAATTCCTTCGGGCTTTCCTTCCTTCTTTGTTAGCATTACGCATTCCCAGAGAGTCACAGGAAGTGGCGTTTTCATGCACTCATCCACTCACTTATATAAGGGCAGCCTGTTCCCCTTCGCCCCTCGCCCTCACCCTCGCCCTCGTCCTCAGCTTTCCAAAGCTTCCCACCGATTCGGAGGCCTCGCAATGGTACCTCCCGGCTATGAGCGGACGACACTTGAGATGGACACGAGACCACCGGCTCCTCACGCACCGTACCCTACGCAAACAAAGCATCTCCAGCATCTCCAGCATCTCCCGCATCTCCGGGAAATTCGATTCCAGGGCTGGCGGGCGGAAAGGGCGGAAAGGGCGTGATTCGCATCGATGATCGGTCCCAAGGCAGCTGGTTTGGGTTTGGGTTTTGCCCCCTGGTGGCGGCGGCGGTGGGGGTTGGGGGCTGGTTACGGTGTATGGACGCAGTAACGCAGTAACGTCGACGTCGACGTCGGCGAACACATCCGCATGCATCCAGGCGTGTGGTTCTCGTTCTCGGCAGGGCGGACCTCGTCTCGCATTGCATCGCATAGCACAGCGGTGAGAGCCCAGTGCAGTGGGGTCGCGCTCATCGGCGTTCATACTCTACATTCGCCACCAATGCTATGTGTGAGGCTGCGCCTCAGATCGGCAGACAACGGCCGGGTCAATCAGACGGAATCGGCCCGAGACGATGACTGCACCCCTGTACCCCTGTCGGGTGTCAGCTGACACATCCCCGCCGAAACGAAACAAATCTCTGACACCGTCCGTGCACCGAATATCAGCGGGAAATACTTTCATTTTCCACGGCCATTCGTCCACGGAAAGTGGAGCGGAAATTAATAAGAGAAAGGGAGATGAAGAGGATGATGAAGCTTCGCAATTTCGGCGTTCTCGGTGGCTATTAAGATGGAGATTGAGATTGTTTGTTCTACGGCCTACGACCGGCAAGCTGGCACATCAATACTCTACTCTACTATACACTGACGGAAAATCAAGCTCACCTCGACAGAATCCATCCATCCAAACATCCATCCAAACATCCATCCAAACATCTGGTCTGGCGGTCAGGCGATACTAGCATATTTCGTTATTCGTCCTTTTCGTGGAGCATTCCATTCCATTCATTCCTCACGCTCCCATGTGCATACCTAGATGATAGCTAACGGACCGTCGGGATCCAAGAACCAGGATTCAAGAACCTCTCCGTGGAATCGCCTCTTGCATCGCCACTCGCTCGTTTCTATTCCCTCCCACGAGTGTGCTAGGTACTTTATCGATACCATACCACCTATCGTCCCTCGTCCCTCTCCCTCGTCGTCGGTGCCGGCCCTGCTTCATGCGTCCTCGTCGTGTGTGTCTTGACGCCGGTCCCCTCGATTCTCGTGCACGTTGCCTACTTCGATGCCTCGCTCACGAGTCACCACTCGACACCGAAGCCTACCTAGAGTAGCTTACCGAGGTACTACATCGCACTGCTTGAAGCTCGGGTATACCATACTACACTCTACTATCGGCCGGCCGGGCCCTACGGATTCAGGTTCACGGCAGCTCACCTGTCAGCTCACCCGCCAGTCCACCAGTCCGCCAGTCCGCCAGTCCATCATTCCGACAGTCCGTCAGTCCCTCACGGGTATCTATACAATATACAAAAACTCCCATTGCCCAATGCCCCGAGGACAATGCTCTTTATATTTAATTTTCTTAATGTATAGCCAGCCATATCCATATCCAAAACACCATGTACCCAAACCCCGATATCCAGATTCCAAACCTCCTGAAACGAAACGAAAAGCAAAACGAATAGCAAAACAAACAGTAAGCCAACCCAACCCAGGAACGACAAGCACATCAAAGCAGGGGAATCAAAGCAGGACAATCAAAGCAGCCCAATCGAAACAGTCAAGACGAAACCCGCCAGCCAGCCTCCACGTCGGTAGACAACACAGGCATACAAAGGAAACTGAGGAATCTGAGGACGATTCCGCCCATGCACCACACCACCACACAACCACCAGCCCATACAACATACACTCATAGGAAGGCAACCACGTCATCGAGAATAAACACGAATCAGCAAAACCACCAGAGCCAATATAAAAGGGAAAGAGTAGCAAATGACACAAAACGAAAAGACGGACTGAAGAAAAAAGCAGACAACACGGGAGGAAAAACTGTCGCACAAGAGCTATCAGCTAGAGAGCTCGCAAAAGAGAAGCCGGAAAGAAGCACATATCCACCCACTGCCAAAACAAAACAGAAAAAAAGAAAAGCATCCCACAGAAGGAAACATCAGACACGACAGACGGACAGACGAAGCTCAAGGGTAGGAAGCCGGAACCGGAACAGAAAGACAGACAGACAACTACACTAACAGCATCCATCCCGCCCAGAACTGGAGACGTGATATGGGAATGGGAAATGAGAAATGAAGCACAAGATTCGATCGAGGAATGGGAGGGGATGTGGGAACGTCCGGGTTGGGTTGGAGAGACCCGGCATCTGAGCAACAGAGAGAGAGAGAGAGAGATCATTTGCAAACGACGGAGGCGGACATGGACATGGACGATGGCGGCCGAGACGACATCGGAACGATGTCAGAAGTGCGAATTAAACTCTGCAATCGCATCCAAAACCGCCGGCTTGACGAACGACGCCAGGCCTCCCATCCCTCCCATCCCACCCAAGCTGTAGGCAGCCTCACTGAACACCGCATTACCAACGTAACAACAGCCATCACCGTAGTCGACTCCAGCATACTCGAGCTTTTCAAACTCGGCCGGGAACATCTTGCACACGGCGGGGTCGTCGAATGCGCTGTCGTGGAAGAATACAGGTGGTGATCCTCTGTGGTATAGAGACTCATCGCGCGTCCATCTGCCGTGGTTGAGCTGCAAGAGGATTTCGTGGGTGGCGATTTCTAAGAGCGGTACGGGCTGGGGTGGTGGTGCTGGCTGTGCTGCTGGAGGTGGAGCTGGTGCTGGCTGTGCTGCTGGTGGTGGTGGTGGTGGTGGTGTGGGCGCGCGGTGTGCCGGTTCCGGTACGGTATCGTCCGTGGTGGTGGTGGTGGTGCCGGGTGCAGGACTACCGGGAGCGGCGTTGTCCGGCAGGACAGCCAGAATTGTCGCCGACGGTGCCGTCTTCACACCCATTATCCGACCAGCGACCGATACCGAAGCCACCGGGACCTCCGCAATCTTCGACGCCCCTCCCACTTCCACTTCGGACGTGATATTGGTAGCGCGGCTCTGCAACGAGCCGAAGCTGCCGGTTTTGGGCGTGGTAGAGTCCGAGACGGAGATCTCCTTGTCATTGTCCTTCTCCGCCGTTTTCTGCTCACTGACATAGAGGGCGCGTTGAACCATGATTAATGATTGAATTGCGGGCTAGTTACAGATGGACGGATCGGACTACGACTTCACGGCACAGGTAGAACTTGACGGCCAGAGCAGGGCTGTCGCTTCCTTCCTTCCTGGACGCAAAGATGCACGGTCTCACGGTCCCTACGGTCCTCACGGCGCCGACGAAGTGTGGTACAGGGATGGGATGTAACTAGAGTAGCGATCCGATCGGTCGCCGGGTTCGAAACCGCCGGATGCAAAACGAGCGCGTAGTGCGCAGCGGGTAGCTAAGGACGCTGTGTCCGAGCTGTGTCCGAGCTGTGTCCGAGCTGTGTCCGAGCTGTGTCCGAGCTGTGTCCGAGCTGTGTCCGAGCTGTGTCCGAGCTGTGTCCGAGCTTCACCACACCACATCACCATCAGCGACGTTACGTTATGTTGCATCACGGAGTGCAGGAGAAGAAAGAAAAAAGAATTGGGGGCGTACATACAGATACAAGTGCGACCGGCAAAGGCAACAGCAAAAGCTCCCAGCCAAAAAGGTTCCGATCTACCAACAGCGCACAAAGGTGGCGGATTGTTCACGGTGTGTAGGTACTCTATCTTGCTTCCTTCGGACTACGGTATCGAGCGAAAAACGTCGTGAAACGTCGCGAAAGACGGGCAACCACTCGACGCGACCGAGGAATTATTTGATTGCGGGCTATGGAAACGGGTTCTTGAATCGTTCCTTTGGCGACGGAAAGGGAGGGGCGTGGTTGTTGTGGGGTTGCTCTGGAACGAGGTGGATGCACTGGATGGATGGATGGGTGTAGGCTGGTAGGCAGGGTGGAACACAAGCGAGGCGAGAAGGCGAGGTGAGGTGGGAATTGGTGAACTGGCTGGGAATACGTTGGCATGGAAGCTTTACTCGCCGTCAATCTCACTGTTCAACTGAAGATGGAGAAGAAGGAGAAGAGGAAGAAGAAGAAAAAGGAAAAGAACAAGAAAAAGAAGCAGCAGATGGCAGATGGCAGACGACACACGAGGCTTCTCATACCTTTCACAAGCAGGGACGATATGCGACGAAAGGCCGGGCGGGGACTCGCAGTGTGGAGAGCGATTAGTCGGATCGACTGGTGTCGGAGGCAAGAATTGGCGGGCATGCCGGGCATTTTATGATTTTTGGATTGCAACGGAGCCGGGGTGAAAGCCGGCATCGTCAGGCGGCTCTCGATGATTGGAAGGAACATTGTGGGATCTAAGTGCGCACTTAAGACTCCAGACGGTGGTGGCTCCGCGAACGTGTGTTGGCATAGGTACCTACGGATGGGCTCAGCGAGGATCGATCTACTGACTCGCTTGATGTGAGTCGGAAGCGCCGCATCAACCTGGCCCGACTCGACACCCGCGGCATTATGTCCACGGGATAAAAGGCATTCGGGTGCTTCTATACATACTGTCGGCTTCAATACACCATTTTGCTCTTATGGCCGCGAGTTGCAATGGCGTCGTGGATCCAGTTCCTCACCACCTTCTCCGTCTGCCCTACCTGAGTACTCACTGCATAGCACACCTACCGGTATAGTAGAGTACGTAGCGAACTGGCGTCCTTCTAGCGACGCAGCCATTCGATCTTCCATCCGGCAACCATCACTCACTCACCCACCAACCCCCTCACATACCCCCCGAGCCCCCGCCGCCCTGCTTCGAGCGGAAGAAAAATGGGATTCTATTTCACGAGAACACAAGCCAGACGATGCTTCTGATTGGCGAAACCTAACACCGCCTGCTGCCAGGGTTGTTGCCCATAGATCCCCACTGACTCACGAATATGTACATCGGATACGGATGGAGTAGCCTTTTACGGCCACGACAGGCGCTACAGGAGCCCATCGACACCTTGAAAACTTGTTTTTTTCTTCTGTCTTCGTTTGCCCGTTCGATACCTCAAGGTCGCGGATCGGGTCTGGAAAATCACAGATCGAAAGCGCAGCGTTGCGGCGAAGAAAGAATCTCGTCCTGCTTCCGTTTCTTTTTGTGGAATACTCGAAGTCCAAGCGAGTTGCTCCATGTAACATGTACTCGTTGCCTTGCCCAGCCAATCTACATCTACCATCTACCTTCTCCACGCTGAGCTTCCGAACGAGTGGGGCAAAATCCGTGCAGGACTGCCAGCCAGCCAATCCACGTTCGCGTACCTAAATTTATGCTATTCGATTATTGTTCGCGCTCCCAATAACACTCGCATCTAATATCCGCGAGATCTTTGCAACTCCTACTCCTACATCTAGATTCCAACTTCTTGATTTCCCTGTTCTGACGGAATCCGCGACAATCCTATCTGCAGATACCTATTTATCAGGCGTGCCCGACCGACCGACCACATCGACTTTCTCTGTCTAATATTCGTTCCTACACAACTCCACTCTGCGCGTCGCCTTGGCATCCCATACCGCACCTATGCTACCGTATCGCCATCACATGTGTGTCGCCGCGACCGCGACCGGCCCCCAGCCTCAAGTGGAGCGGGATCGTCAATGGTCATCTCCCCTGGACCCTGGAGACCTCTGCTGCGAGCATGTTGCCAGCGTCGACGGTTGAGTGGTTGAGTGGATCACGTCTGTTTCTGTTTCTTTCTTCTTCTTCTTTTCCCCCACCCGCGCGGTATTATTGTACATACTGGATCGGTCTGTCGGCAATATATCTATGTAGCGGTCGTCGTACACGCACGCACTCACATTCGCTGCGAGCCTCCGACAACACCAGCCCCAGCCTCGTCTTCTACCGTACTCTAGTGCTGCAGATGTGTGTCTGTCTATCTGTCTGGCCGTGTGTGCTACTATCATAGGTTTCGAAAGTCCGAAACAGCCTAGGTAATTAGCGGTCTCCGTGCTTGTTTGATCCGCGTGTAGCCGTCGTTGTGCGGACTTCTCTCCCTCTTTCTCAGCCCGTCGAGTCGGAATGCTGCGTTAAACGGCCGGAAGGCGTGGGCGACACCTACCTGCAGATTTTGGCGGCGCCGGAAGCGCAGTCGTTCCGTCGGTGCATGCCCCGCAGACGCCCTGCGGAAATGAAAACCGTCATCACGAGCTGCTGTGATGCCCTGCAGATGGAGGTATGTACAAACGACGCCGATCCAGGTCGCCGGGCTGGGCTCATGGAGTATTGTACAGAGGCAACTGCGGGCCTGCGGCGGGGTCCCCGCATATTACTTACGCATATATATCGTCCGGACAGACCGGGGAAGCAGTCGGGGAGTGTGGAGTGTGGAGTTTGCTGCCCGTTGGGTTCGCTTCCCCTTATCCGACCGGCCATCCGGGGAGGGAACGGTCGTTGATGGATGGATGCATGGGATGGCTGGCGTTGCGAGTTGCGGGATCAAGATAAGCACGCCTATGTCAGCACTGTATGTATGGGGAAGGGGAGGGTATGGGGTGCATTGGGTTCGCCAGGTTCGCCGGGCCATATCGACTTCGACGTCGACTGCATCCGGCCGCCGGCGCGGTGCAATAGCCTGTTTTGGCCCTTGGGGGATCGGCGGGGGAAGTAATGGGTGGGAAAGCTGGGGAATGATATATCGGAAGATGGTCGCCGATGCTGCCTCTTCATAGTCCCCGTCTCCTACATATAGCTTATATTACGCATGGTTGCGCGTTCTTCAGCATCATCATCCGTCAGCACAGCTTCAGATTGATTATATTGCCTGATGCCTGAAGATACGCAAGGCTTCACCGAGCGCGGGCTGTTAGCTCGCCGACTAGACCGGCCGCTGGTCACTGGTGGCTGTTTATCCATTTAGCTGCTGATCGTCCGGCTCTCGTCGTTTTTCGCTTACCGCCGCGACGACGATGCTCATCCCGTTGCGACTTTGGCACCCCTCCCCGGTCGTGCTACTTATTCCCGACTGGTATTAGCGCCACACTCACGCGACCATCTCCGAAAACCACCTCTCCCCGCCCCTGCCCCCTTTGCGACACCATCACCACCGTTCAAGAGTACCTCCATGCTCACTTTTGTGCGCACTCGACATGGCAGCGGACGACTGTACATTCGAGCACTGTCGTCATGCCCGCAATCGTTGGTAGGCTGAACAACTTCCTGCAGGCCAAATCCAGCACAGCCATCCACCTGCGCCCCGAAAGAAATAGGTAGCATGGCGAGCACACTGTGGACTGCTTAAACGTCGCCGTCCCGGCTGGCATCGCCGTTTCCCTTCCTTTTCCCCTTCGATGCCCTATCTATCTTCTTGCCTACGCCCCCAGAACTACACCGGACAATCTGCACTCAAGCTACCTAGCCGTTCAACTGCACTCGACGTCTTCGCGAAAGAACATCCACTTGTGGCACGCCACCATCTGCACTCTCCACGTCGGCAATCAGGCGGAGCTCTCCCCCGGACCCGGATCCAGGCCATTCCCTGAGCGGCGTCATCGCGTCTCGTGCTGGAGCATCCATCCGAGCAGCTGCACTTCAACATGGCCGCCGTTGCCGTCACCGCCGCCGTCTCCACCGCGGCTTCAATCTCGACCACCATCGTGGCCGAGGCAGAGCTTTCCCCCTCCATCTCCCAGCAATCCTCCGGCTTTACCGACCCGCCGCCAGACAATACCTTCGTCACGACATGTCACAAGTGCGGGGAACAGGTCGTGGAGTCGGTCGTCGACATGATCAGTAAGCTGCAGAGCGGCCGCCTGCACATCCACTGCCAGACTCTGCATTGCAACACGATTGTCTGCCACAGCAGCTCGCTGTTCTCGAACGCGGTGTACAGCAATGCGCCAGCCGCGGATACGGTACGGTGCTCTCGGCATGGAGGGGGGAAGGTTGGGATAGTAATGCAGCTAACATGGCGATAATGGTTGTAGCAGTTGCAGTTTTCGATTTACTCGAGCGCCGACTCGCTGGGCGCGAACATCCACAACCCACGGAACTCGCTATCGGACTGCGAGCCACCAACGAAGCCGCCCGCATTCAGCGCTGCGGATATCGAAACTCACGGGTTCGACAAGCTAAGCGACCGCCATTCCTCGTCGTGGTCATCGACGATGTCCGACTACAGACTCCCCATGCGCGCGACCTCCCCCGAGATCTCATCGATGCTCTCGGGGCGGCGGAACACCACGGCCTCGAACCGGACGGACAGGGACAGGGACAGCATCATCTCTCTGACACCCTCCGATCCCACGCGGCACCGGGGCTGGCGCATATCGCAATCCTCGGCCCTCTCCGACTCGCCGCGGAACTCGGCAGACCACAACCTGCTAAAGCTAGCCACGAAGAACCGCAGCCGCGTCAGCCTGCAATCGCTTTCCAAAGCGCAACCGATCCAGTCGATACAGGGAGGAGTGCGGAGCACGGGCGACGGCTCCACCACTACCAGCAGCAGCAGCATTGCCGATGCCCTCGCGGACACAAACGCCGTGTCGATTCCCGCCGCCGCAGGCTTCGCGTTCGTCCACCATCGCCCCAGACCACTGTCGCAGCCGCTTGCGGTCCCGCATTCGGGAAATACCCGCATGCCCACGCCTGTCCCCGAGGAGGGCGGAACACCGTTTGCTCTCGCGGCAGCGGCAGAGGTGCTGCCGTCTGCGGATGTGGATGAACGGGCCGTGAGTCTTCGCGCCGCACCGGGCTCCGCGCCACGGAGGCAGGAGAGGCCTACGAGGCAGGAACAGCATCAGCAACAGCCCCGCAGAAGCCAAAGAGGGATCAGGGGCTTCGGATGCTTCGTTAAGCGCGGGCTGAAGAAGCTGCCGTCTAGGCTGCAGAAGGGAGTGGTGGGATTGATACGGGTACAGCTGGTGCTGCGCAGTTGGGAGGGGAGACAGAATGATAGGAAGGACAGGGGGAAGGGGGTGGGGAAGGGGAAGGAGCCCGAAGTGGTCCTGCCCGAGCCAGAGCCGGAGGCGAGTCACGAGAGGAGCCGTTCGAGGAATTCGCAGGAACAGGAACAGGAAACGACAGTCGCGCCGACACACGCAGTAAGCGCACCCATCACGATCCCCGATGCGTCCTCGTCGCTGCTTTCTTCTGCTTCACCATCCGCATCCCTCTCGCCAGCCCCCTCACCCCCCTCACCCCCCTCGTCCGAGTCCTCCCCACCCCTCCCACCCCTCCCCTCCCCCTCGCTTCCATCCCCACGCCTCCTCAGCCCTGGTCCCGGTCCAGTAGAGGAAGCTTTCCACGACGCCGACCTCGGCCAGGAGCTGGATCGGCAGCAGTTCGATGTCAGCTCTACGCAGCAGATCTCGGATACTGTGCGTAACGCAATGAGTGAGGCGTGGGCGCAGCCGGAGGCGCCGGTTATTATCGCTATGCGCGTGCCTGTGCTGATGGGGATGGGGGTGCCGAGGGGGTGGTGGGGGGAGGGGGTGTAACGGGCCTTTGAAGACGGATATGACGGTTGTACGATATAATGTTGAGGTACCGATGGGCGGTCTACACGATAACGATATCTATGGAAGCGGTTTTTGGTTCTTGCATACTTGGTACTTTGTTTATTGAAAACGGGAGCTGGAACTTGGGATACACAGTGTTTAATGCCATAATTATACCTTTGTAAATTGTTTTCGATGTCTACGTGAAAATGTATGCGCAATGATGCGAGATGCAAATGCAAATGCAATTCCGAAATCCCGCTCCACACAATTACTCCATGTTACCGTTCCAGAGGCGGCAGAGGCATTGTGCGTGCGTGGATTCGGTTATCTACAGAGGAGGGAGTATGTAATACATTCGGTACTCTATTAGAACTATGTAACTGCCTCACGCTCATCTCCACCCCCTAGGTCCGCAGCCCCCAGATCCGCGGGAAGCAGGCAAGCAAGCAGGCACGATCAAATTTCTCCGTGGAGGGGATGGCCTATGCTGCACGGCACCGCGCCGCACGGCGCCGCACGACAGCGCAGAAGCTTTACCACCGTTCAAATCTTCAAATCTTCACATGCCATCCGCAGACTGCCCATCGCGATTCGCACCCACACACCCACTCACCCACGCACTCACCCACACACTCACTCACTCACCCACTCAACCACCCACTCAACCACCAACCTCACACCCACCCACCCACCACACATCCACCTCACCCATTATACTCACCCACTCACCCACCTCACCCACCTCACCCACCTCACGAACTGCACCCACCCACCCGCCGCACTCACCCACCTCACCCACCTCACCCACCTCACCCACCTCACCCACCTCACCCACCTCACGAACTGCACCCACCCACCCGCCGCACTCACCCACCAACCGCACACATCCATCTCGCACCCACCCACCCGCCGCGCTCACCCACCAACCGCACCCACCCGCTGCACTCACCCACCAACCGCACGCATCCATCTCGCACCCACCCACCCACACACTCACCCACCAACCGCACGCATCCATCTCGCACCAACCCACTCACTCACGCACCCGAATCGCACTCACCCATCCATCCATCCATCCACCCACCCACCCACCTCACCCACCCACCCCCCCAAGCACATGTGCCTAGGTAGTGCCTAGGTAGGTAGTGCCCAGTGCCTAGTGCCTATTGCCAAGTACCAGGAACCGCAGCCTGTCCGGACCCTACAGGGCGACCAATAAATGCCCATACCGAGAGTCCGAGACTGTCCGAGACTGTACGAGACTGTCCGAGACTGTACGAGACTTTCCGGACTCCGCGGACGGTCGGAGACCACTGGAGGGCTGTGGTCCTACATCCTTTGCATGGGGATGTATGTGTGTATGTGTGTAAGAGTGTAAGAACGCAAGAGTGTAAGACAGTGAGAGTGTAATCCTCCTGCGATAGGACGCGACCGGATATCTGCACCTGGTTCTGGCCCTGGCTTTGAGTCATACGTACCGTACGTACCATTAGAGCATGTGGTTATTGCCTGTACTCTATGTGCGCCTTGCATGGAGGGACGGTGTGGCAGGGGTGGCAGGGGGTTGGGGTTGGGATTGGGTTGGACGCCTGCGCAGTGCGAGATCGATGCGGATGCTTACCTGGGCGAGAGGGCGAGAGGGCGAGAGGGCAAGAGGGCGAGAGTGTGTGTGTGTGAGATAGAGAGAGAGAGAGTGTGTGTATGCCCGTCAACGTTGGAAACGTTGGGAACGTCGAGGCATCCTTCCCTTAGCAAGAGAGCGTGTGTGTGGTACCGTATGTGTGAGAGAGAATCTGCGACGTGCGCGGGCGCGGTCTCGGTGCTGCTGGGGCGGGGTGTCTTGGCGTGGTGGTGGTCTTAGTGAGAGGATTCTCACGACGACGGTCGTATTACACACGCCGAGTAGAGTACTCTATCTTCCTACGGTACTCTACGTGCAGAATCCTCTGTTGCAAATTGCAATGCCTACTCTACTCTACTTTACTTACCTAATATTCCCCAATCCGCAGCAGGACGCTGATTCCTACATCTGGGTCACACGCAGTGTGACCAGTCGCAGTGGTGGACTCTAGAGTGGGTCCAGTGGGCTATGTCCACCGCTGGTCCGGTCCGCGATGCGATGTGGGCCACGCTTGGGCTTGGATGCGGACCAGTGACGTTGACTTTGACATTGATGCGGTGCCACTAGCAAATTTAGTTCGCCGGCAGGGCGACGGCACGCGACGAGGGGCAGCGGGACGAACCGAGGCTCGGGTGTGGCTAGGTGCAGGGGGGTAATTAGGGCGGAGTCCGGACACGGCTGCGGGGTAACGACTCACGGTAGCGCGGAGAAGGCTGCGGGGTGCCGCGCGGGGTAGTAGCACGGGGTGTCACTCGGTAAACGCCTCCGGCCTCCAGGTTTTGGTGGGTGGGGTTTTTTCTCGACTGGGTAAGTAGGTGGATGATAGATATACGAAGATATCGAGAGGATTAAAAGCGTTTTAGTTCCGACTTTTGAATCACGTCGGGTAGTGCACGTGAACGGGAAAGACCCCGATCTCTGCCATTTCCGACCGAGTGGTTCTTCGGGGGCCTACAGGCCATCATACACACTATGAATACTAGTAGTATCCGGGATCCAGGATACAGATACCGCCTCGCGCCCGCCGTCTCGGGTCGAGTCACATCTATGATCTCGTAAATCTCGTAAATCTCGTACATACATACAAAAACCTCCGAACGATCCCCGGCCGGCCGGTGGGCGGGGGTGTACTGTATGTAGGGCCTAATCTGCAGGATCATGTGCGTTGGTTCCAGAAACTTCAACGATGAACCAGGCACGTGGATCGTACTAGGTACTATGATACCCTCTTTTCACTTTTCAGGCGGGGTAGGGTGGGGGTCACATCGGAACGTGCATGGATTGAGGAGTGTGTGAATGTATAAAGCCATGGCTCTCTGGTATAGTAATGTAATCGATCTCTGCACGAATAAACCCATCGCAGCTCGCTACTCGAGTCCGTCCATCGCCCGTCGCTCAATGCACGAGTCCATCCATCGCTCAGTACTTCACCGCCACGACGACCTGTTCGCACTGCGCAGCTACTCCGTGTCAGCCGTTGCCCTCTCCATTTCCATCCCCATCTCGCAGTAGGGGACAACAAACCATCCACACCCTCCTCCTTCACAAACAGCCCCAAGTTCCCCGAGATGAGATCGCTGGCCACACACCAAACACCCCCAGCCGGTCCTAGTACAACCTGCTGCACCCCATTCTCATCACAGCCATACCAACCGACGACCTCGAGCTCCGTGGTGGGGCTCACGCCGAACCCCAGCTGCCGGTACGGCGTCTTAATCGGCACCTTGAGGTATCCCGTGAACGTCAGGCTTGCGCTGCCGTGGTCGAGCGAGAGGCGCGAGTCCGTCAACTTTACGGCCGATGGGGATCCCGCCGGAGAGAGCCAGGCGCTGTAATCGCCTGGTGTGCCCACCGAGGTGAATTGGACGGAGGCGTTGTGGTAGGATGCGGTGGGGGCTTGGACCTGACGGGGTCAGTGGGGGGGGGGGGGGGGGGGGGGGGGGGGGGGGGCACAGGGAGGAGGAGGAAGACGCACCTGCAGCGTGAAACTGTCCGCAAGGCTGAGGATCAGCGGGCGCGTGACGGTGCAGGTCGCGGCGGTTCCCTGGGGTGCGGCCAGCGAGCCGGCGACGAAGAGGAGGAGCGTGGCGAGCGTGGAGGTCTGCATGTTGGCTGCTGGATTAGTGGGTGGTTGATTGATGCTTTGGATTGTGGCGAGGAGGGTGGATAGTGAATATTGGCAGAGCAGTAGGACGGTCTTATATATCCTACGCATCTCACTTCCACACGCCTACACTACAACAGCCGCATCCGTTGCATCCCGAACCTCGTATTCCGCCTCTGTCTCCCCTGACGAATCCCAGCCACGGCCCGTGCTGCCAGATGATTCCTCCACCGGTTCTTACTCTAGAGGCTATGCGACAATTAATTACTATATACAGCACCTACAGGCTACCTACAGGCTACCTAAACCTTACCCGCACTACAGTCTACCCAGTTACTTGGCACGAAAGTACAGTCAACGCTCCTCTCGAGTCGCAGCTCGCTTGTCGGGTATATAAGCACCAGCTACACCCATGCCGCCTTGCTTATATGATATGATATGAGCGGCCCGTTTATCACCGTGCGTCGTGTGAGCTTATCCAGCCGATGCATCAAGCGATCTAAGATCTTGGCTGCATTTCTTGGTGCAGATTCTTTGAAGGAATACGGGACGCGGAATGGGATGGGATGGAATGGGACGATGAAAACAACCGATGAATACGAGCTCGAGCGGGATTGTGTTTTCCCGCGAGAGGGATCCGGGAGTCCGCTGGCAACTTGGCATGACGAGAGTGCTATTCTGGGATGAGATGGAGCGGTGCTCGGTACATCTTGTAATTCTTGTAACTTGTAACCCCGGCGCAGTTGTGCTTACAGTGTACAGTATCGGGAGCCTCGAGCAGCCAGCCCATCACATGTCCCATGATCTTTTCCGCGATGCCAGCTTCCATCTCCGTCTTCACGGGCGTCGATCTCAAGTCATCTCCAGTCATCTTCCGTATCTCACGCCCTGTACCTATGACTCTTGCTCCAGTCTCCTCTTCCCCCCGTCGGGTGCACCTCCTTTCGCGTCAGGGATTCAGGGCGTAATGCCATTTCGCGCGCTAGATCGGAGCTGCACGCGCTGCACCATCTCACATCTGCTTCGCCGCCGCAGGCCCGCAGCTGCAGCCTCCTCCTCCTCCGGTGCGGCCCCACGCGACTTATCGAGGGGAAGGAGCCTTGGTGATTCTACAGATCACCGCCGCCATCCTTATCCCCCCCCTACCACCTCCTCTTCCATCTCTGCAGATTCATCTTCCCGTTCCCATTTCAATCGACTAACTGCTGGAGGGTCTGAGAGAAGGAGGAGGAGGACTGAGCAGTCAGATATCTACCCACGCTTTCCGGTCGTCTGGGGAGCGAGAGGGGCCCCGTTGCACTTTCCGAGCCGCTGCGCAGTATGGATAACACAATGTAGGCAGCCACCATAGATTCAATTGCCAGTATTTACTATCCATGCTTATTCCTACCAACCGCGATGTGCAGGGACATCCCCACTTAAGAAGCTCATATCCGTCTTCGTAATATAATCATCATCGACCGCGGTACATATGTCCGAGTGATTGCATGCCAAGGTTCTGCACTCCCGGGACCCGAACCGCTGCGCCAGTAGGTCGCCTGGAGTTCCCGTCCACGAAAGGTCGTCTATACATGCCCACATCACCGGTAGAAAGGAAAGATCGGAAACCGCCTCGCCACTCCATTTGCTGTTATGGTTGTTGCCGCCGCCGCTCAGAGCAGTCAACAGGGGCCTTTAAGCTACAGCCTACAGCCTACAGGTCATACCGGGCCAGATCAGGTTAACTAGCCTTATCGTTATTCGGGAAGCTGACATTGGCATTGCACCCTAATATGCATAAGGTATCCTTCCTTCTTATGTGCACAACCTCCCAGCGCTCATACTCCCTCGGTTTCCCTCTCATCACGTCAGCGCCTTTTCAACTACCGATCCCGCAAAGGTAGGTAGGTAGTCGAGCAACCAAGCATGAAGCACCTGCTGTTTTTTTTTTGTTTAATTATCATTACCAGTACATTCGACCTTAGTATTAGCCAAGCACCAGGCACCAGCTTCTGACTGGACCGCTGGGGATCCGAGGGGCGAGGTGAGGTGAGGCGCCGTGGATCGTCGGTGACACACGCTCGTCGCTCGGGGCTGGGCTTATCCGTGTGTGGCGCAGCTGGATGATGGCCCGTGGAGCTACAGGGGGCGGAAAAGCTGCGGTAGCCTGTAGGCGAAAGAGTTACGGCAGATATCTACTCTATTTAGGCGCCAGGAAGGTGTAGGAACTGGGAATAAGCGGTAGGCGGCGATAGTACTATGTAGTGGTGGGCTTTGTCAGGATAGCCGGGATTCAATCGCACCGTATCACTCGGAATGGGAAGTACAACACATAAACGTGTTTGGCACAAGGGTCTTTCCGTGAATATTTGCATGATGTAATTAAGTCAAAAGCAATTAATGATTAAACATAACAAATGAAAATAGGTACAGCGGGTAGAACAATGACAGGGGAGAGAGTAAAGGGAAAAGGAGGTGTCGAGGACGAAGGTCGGCGGTGGGGGTGAGAGAACTATAGCATCCAATCGTAGCCTGCACTCCTCGATCTGCGCATTGAGGTGGTGGCGGGTGTCGTCCAACGAATCTTACCACGCGCGGAGCTTGGCGAGGAGCTGCTGCTCGCGGCGACCGAAGTCCTCCGCATCATTCGGCCCGGATGGTCCGGGTCGGAATTGAAACCTTGAATCTTGACCTTCATGGTTCGCGCTGTTGGATTGGACTGGGCGGTGCGCGTCTTGTAGCTAGGTGCGCCCCCGCGTGGGGGGTCGTTAGACTGTGTTCGCTGTTCGGGGTGGACAGAACAATGGTGGGGGGTAGCGGAAATAGTCCTCTCGGGTTCAGCGTAGCGATCGGTTCTGATCATGTCGTTGTCGATACTTCCGACCAACCCACCAATGTTGATGATATGGTTCATTTGCGGTTCGATTTGCTCCTGCTTGAGCTCGCAATTCTGGACCAGTTCGGCCAGTAGGCCTGGCCACTCTCGCCGAACGATATCGGCACCGGCGAGCGAACCGCCTCCACGGTCCACCGCAGATGATCAGCGCGTCGATAGCGTTGATGATGGGGTTCTTTGCACCCCTCAGGACTTTCCCTCTCTCTGAATTCCTTGCATCGGGCAGCACCGATTAAAGTACCGCCCCACCACCACAAACCACACATCAAAGCAAATCATTCCCGCCGCCGCTATCATCCACGTCTTCAAGACGCTTGTTGTTTCTCCTGGCGTATTCGTTCAGATCTTCCATAGACTGGGAGCGTCCCAGTATGCGACCCCAGCTCCAGCGGGATCGGGATCCCTGGCTGGGGACAGTGGACGTATCCACTGAACAACAGATCGGCAGGACGCCTGCCTCGGCGTGTGTGAGGGGGAACATAGTTCCAGTAGGGTTCGAGTGTGGCGCAGCGGCGGGCTGCGATAGGGATAGTGCTGGCAGTGGGAGGCTGAACAAGGTTGATTCGCTCGAGCTCGGGTGGCTAGGAGCAACCAGTGACGGAGAGGAGGTAGTGAGCCACGTTGATGAAGCGGTAGGCGTGTTCGTGGGCACCGCGGGGATAAAGGTCGGTAGTCCGACACCCATATCCGCGCGATACTCGATGAGCATAGTCTGCGCCCACAGCCTGGTAGTTTCCCCTGAATGCAAGCCGAGATCGACATCTTGCCACTGTTGTGGCGAGTTGAAATCGGCCCAAAATCGGTCGACCTGATCTCCGAAGAAAATCTGTTGTCGCAGCCAGCCCAGCACGTCCTCCAGATCATGGTCTGGATAAACTCCCCGCCCTTGACCTGGCCCGTGGATTCGGATCGTCTTCTCTGTGACCGCGCGCACTGCAGCTTTCATACTAATCGCGTCAATCCTCTTCTTCTTCACACCACCGCCGGGGCGGCGGGGCTAATCGGTCAACTTACCATCGGGGGGACCCATCGTCCCCGGCCGGCTCGTAGCCGGCCTAGTTGCCGGGAAAAGTATCACCGGCGGCAAAGCCGAAACACAGTTTGTACATTCCACGGAGGCCATTTGTTGATAGAGCTGAATTATGGAGTGTATATCCCACGGAAGTCGTGTTGATGTTGATGATGATGAGAGAGAGAGAAAATGTTGTTGATGATGAGAGAGAGAGAGGGGAGAGGAGGCGGAAGTGGGGGAACCCTTTTATTTGGAAGCGGTGCGGCTTGGTGCGGCCGATGCTGAGGGCGCAACCCCGCACCCCCACATCCTCGCACACGCCGAAGAACTACAAACCGTGGCTGAAGGCAGGGCGACTTTGTCGTTAGAGTTCTTACCGGGAATCCAAAAGCACTCTGGTATGTAACGGAAGCGGACGAAACACATGTCCCTACCGGTGTGACACTGCACCAGGCATGTCACATAGATACGTACGTATGTAGTGGTCAAACGCACTGTGGCAGGGCAGGTACTTGGGCGGGTTCTATGTACACGGTGGTGAATCGCAGACGATTTGTAGGCAGATGGATCCACCAGACGGAACGTAAGTTACGTCGAGCTCGAAGTGGTTGGTACGGCGACGACGGAAGCTAGGAAAACCTCCGACAACGTCAGGAATCCGGACAACCATGATATCCAGGGATTCCTCATAGCATATCGCAGCCCAACAGCCGGGACAGACGCTTCGTTTTCCGGCTCCTCAGCCTGCCGAAAGGAAACCAGACGAGGCTGACAGCACGATCGGCAAACGAACGGTGAAACGTGACCTTCCGGGGCTAATCGGACCGGTCACGACTCAGTGGAGACGGAGATACACTACTGCATAAAGCGGAAGTACCAAACTACACGGTCTCCTGCTGGAATAGTCACAAAGTCCATGGGCTACTACCCAGAGGCCTACATATGATGCGGAGGGCGCAGTCACCACGCCGGCACTGCAAGCGGGCTCTAATAGACAACATAATGCCTCTTTCAGCAGGGTCGCCATCTAGATACACACAAAAACCATGAACGAGTAGATACACTGAGTAGGTGCCTGGAAGGAAGAGGGGAACGATGATGATGTTGATGTGATTGCAAAATCTGGAGAACTGGAATCTTCCCACCACCACCACCACCACCCCGCCAACTTGGAGATTTAAAAGATTAAACGTAGAACTCAAGGAATTATTTTTACGGAACGCCGACTCCGGACTTTGCACAAGAAGATTCACGCTGCGCCATCCTTCACACCCTCGGTTTGCCTCCCTTACTGGCCTTGCCGTTTCCCTTGCCTCCCCGACTGGAAGAGGCATCGCGAAATGCGGGTGGCGGATGGTGTTGGCATTATGCTGCTTGAAGCCTGTATCGTGCTGAAGATGGTAGCGGTGAGGGATTGTACAGCAGTAGTCACGTGGGGTTGTTTGGATTTTGAGGATAGTGTGTCACGTGAAATGGTACCGGAAGGGTTGCTGAGGCCTGAGGAGCCATTGAGGGTGGGTCACACATCAGTTGGCGATTTGTCGTCTCATTGACCGTGATGTGGGGCCTCAAAAGTATCACGGTCTCTAGAACATCTATAAATACCAGCTCCCCGCCCCACTATCTCCCTTCTTTCTACTACATCCATCCTACTAAGCGCTTGTTCATCCTCGAACCACGAACAATAGTAAGTTCCCAATCCTCTCCCCTCCTCCCCCCACAATCCACATACGACTCCACACAAAAACCGTCCTTTGCATATACATCATCTACAATTGAGATTTGCGAGCTGTACTCACAGTCAGATAGATGGTTGCCCCAGATATTCCCGCCACCCACGGGCACCTCCTCCGCGACCGCACAACCCTCAAGGCGCCGGACAGAGTAAGATATTCACTCTTCCCTAGCCACTATTTAATGCATCACCCCCTCATTCGATTTGCACACAGCTTTCCCCAAGCTTCGTCGAGCGGAGGAGGGCCCGTCGAGCGAAGAAGAGCAAGACCCAGCGTGCGAAGGTACGTTCATTCATGCCGATCCATCTCTGTATCTATATCTCTAAAAATATACAGAAAGCCGCCGCCAACACCACCACCACCACCGCCGTCCCCGCCGCCGCCGCCACTACCACCACCAAAGCCGCCAAGGGCCGGTCCAAGAAACCACCTAAGGCTATCAAGTACTGGATGGTCCTCACTCTCGATGGCGGGAGGAGGATTACCCAAGTCGCCGAGAGTGCGGAGGTGCCTGAGGACGCGATCTCTGTCAAGATCGTGGTCCCAGCCTCCCACCGGTTCTTAGACTGGCCTGTGGTGGCTAGATTGAAGGGGAGGGGAGAGGAGGAGGGGTAGAACAAGAATAAAAATAAAAGCATTTTTTTTTTCAAGTCAAACGTCTCGTGAACCGTCTGTAGTGTGCCGGTGCTGCCATCGAGAATCAGTCCCGAGTGTACTTTGTTTCTTTGCTATGTAGAACAGAGCGAGAGACGGCTCCTTTGATAATAACCTTCCAGGCCGGCGGCGGGGTCGAGAGGAGAGTAGGTACACCCATAAGAATGATGAGATACATAGAGGTTGAGCGTCTATTCTGTAGAGGATCAAGAAGATAGAAGAAGAAAACCCGCGAGTGCCAGCTTAAGTCCCCCTTCCTCATTCACCAATCGGCCCCGCCATGCACCAACGCTGGTGCCCACTATTAACTAGATTCGCTTCCTCCCGCCGACAGGAGTCCTTCATTTCCTAATCTCGCCGAGAGCTCTTGCATCACTCCGCCACAGCGGAGGCTTAGTTAGCCTTCATCTGGCTATCACTCGTTCCCATTCTCACGTCCGTATTAGGCTTCAGCCGACTTGAGGACATCGGATCGGGCGATTCAAATCGGAGGTGATGCGAGGTACCTGGCTACCAGATATGACAGTAAAACTCTTCCAGCTGCCTATCGTGTGAACAGGCTAAACCGCAACACAGAAAACCTTCATCATCAGACACTGTGGAGGAGGAAACGTGGACGACGTCTTACATACCGGGGGTAGAGTACAGTGCGCCGGCTCGTGACCCCAACGTTTGAAACGACTAATTATCAGCTGAGAACCTGGTGCCATCGGATGGCCAACCATTATCAAGTTTATAGAACCCAAAAAAGCGTCTGGCTCTTGGCCAGAATAATGAGAGCATTGCCGTGCTGGGCCGCTTTCGCCTTCCGGCCGCCGGGGGTGACGGAGTTGTTGATGTTGTTCGATTTTGTCTGTTAAAATTGTTAGAACCAGAATCATGGAGCGACCATATTGCGCAAATGGCTCTCAACATCCTCAGTATCGGGCTCACCATGAGCGCTGAGCCAGGAAGAGCTTTTTTAGTCGTGCAAAGATCATTGTTAGATCGGCGGTGGATATTGCACATAGCTAACGGGCGCGCTCAATCGACAGTCTGCTAGTATCTGCGGCGAAGATAGCGTGGTATCTGCGGCGAGTCAGCCTTGCCTGATACTGTAGGTCGGCATAGGAGGACAAGACGTACCGGCTGCAGGAGGGACAGATGTTTTCGGACAGCGAAGGACGGCAATTCCAGGGTGTAATTGCGGCGAAGATAATGAGCTACCCGCGGCAAAGAGAGTGTGGTATCCGCGGCGAGCCAGACGTGATACGTAGAATGGCATCGAAAATTTGGAAGACGACGGGTACCGGCTGTAGAAAGACTGACAGGTGCTGTCAGTTGACAGTCAGCGGAGGACGATAAGCAAAGTGGGATATCCGTAGCGAGGCAGGCCTGATACTACTGTAGGATATCATAGGAGGAGCACGATGGGTATCTGCTGTAGGCAGAGGTCCAGAGACTATCAGAGAACGACAGCGGCAACGGGTAACGTAGCAACGATGCTTGCCAGCTGTGTGACGACGAATTCGGAATAGCCCGCTGGCCTCGCTGTGGACCTAGTACTGGCTCCACCGTGGATATATCATATGGCGTTCTCGTTGCAGTGAATACTGTGTGACGGAGTGATGGAGGAGCTATCGGCGAGAGGACTCAGTGATGGAGAAGGTGTTGGTGTGAGGAGGATTCAGTGATGGAGGAGCTGACGGCGGGAGGAAACGAATGTTGTTAGTAGGGAGCATCAACGTTGACGGGTCCAGCGAAGTCGTCAGCTCCTTAATCGTCTGCTCCTGAACAATCTGCTCCTTAATTGGCTGCTTCTTAATTGGCTGCTTCTTAGTCATCTGCTCCATCTTCTTTTTCTCTCTCTCTCATCTACCGAATAGACGGTCAACTTCCATATATTATCTTTCTCTGTGTGCGCACTGTGCTCTCCTCTTGATTCCATCCTGCCTGGAGGGTTGTTACCAAAAAAACCCGTCCGCAAAACCGTTGCTGTCTGGGCTGAGTCTTGTGGACGTTGTTACCTATGCATTTTCCACACGGGCGAATACCTTTGATATCACTCGTTCGTGGTTGAATACCGTTGACATCACTCGTCCGTGCACGAATACCTTTGATATCACTCGTTTGTGCACTATTCGAATTGCACGTATATTTCACTGCAGGAGGCACATTTCACTGGTTGAATTGTGTTCGGCTTTGTGCGTTAGACAAACCTGGGCTGTGTCGTCGTTTGAGAGCCTCGCAATCGAATACTACCGGTACACCGCGATGGGGGTAGTCGATTGCCGCCGCTGATGTGCTGCCTTCGCTGCTGCTCAAAGGTCGATTGCGCAAGTTTGTTTGAACGATTCTCCACTGAAAACCAGCAGGTGCTGGTGTCGATTGCGTTTCTACGTAAACACACGCAAACTCCCCCCCACACCATCGCTACTTGCCCGCCCGATTAGTCGGGCGTCAAGTATAAGTAGTCCTGTTCTCCCCCCACTCTCTTCCTCTTTTCGTTTCCACGCACACGAGAAGATCTAGATACAAGCGAAGAATAGTAAGTTATCACCTCCTGAATCCTTCCCTATCCCCAACTGAATCACTCCTTAATCGTCCACGTTTCACGTGCCTGCAACCTCCGCTAATTCCTGAAGAATCTGCAAGAAAAATGGGTCGGGCGAAACACCCAACTGTGAAGCCCAGGTACGGACTGAGGGACCGTAAAAAGCTCAAGGCGCCCGAGAGGGTATGTTCCCTTTCTGCCCCCCCCCTCCCCCCCCAATCGAACATCTTGCTAACTTACTTCCACAGTTGCAACAGGAGGCTCTCAAGCCGAGAAGGAGGTACCCCCGCCGTAAGGTAAGTGATATTTTTGCACGACTGTAGATTACGGGTGCAAAACTGACGGTGTGTGTGTGTGTGTGCAGAAGACCATTGCTCGCCCTGCCGCTCCCTCTGTGACGACCTCCCGTCCCCCCACCAAGACCAAGGTGAGTCCCGCATCACTTCCGCCATGACTCCCGCAGATGCTGATGCGAGTCCCGCGTAGTCGGATGCGAGTTCCGCTGTGACTACTCCGACTGCGACTGATCTCAGTCCAGCCGTGACTTCCGCAAACTCTCCGCGCTCTGTCAAGACCTCATCGGAATCAGCTGAGAACTCATCGAGCTCAAGCACGGCGTCTCCAAGCCCCGCCACCGCTCCAAGAAGTGTATTCAGCTCCCCCGCTTTCGCGGTCGTCATATGGGTGAGTGGCCCATGATTCCGCGATACTCGTTTTCCTTCTCTGCTCCTAGCTGACCAAACCTAGAAAAGGCCTACGGTCGGTGGATTGAGGCTGCCTGGAAGTAGATGTCAAAAATGAGTGGGAATCGGGATACAGGTGGAAACTCGTTATGCCTTTCTCATTACAAGTTCCTTCCATAGATAAAATTCCTGCCAGCTATGTCTTGTCTATAAAACCAATATGTATTCGCGTACCCAATGCCCATGAAATTACATCCCCACCCCATACCTTCCCTTCCCCATCCCTTCCCCGCCTCCTCCCCGCACTACATTATTCATATTTATAACACAGAATCCCCCCTAGCCCGCCCCCCGTGGTCGATGTTCGCGTGGTAGACGAAGAGGATCGGGCCGCTGGGGACGCCCATTGATCCAGCATCTAGTTGCCGGGTGTTAGTGCGTGGAGGGAGGGAGGGGGGGGGGGGGGGGCGGAGGCGGGAGGAAACGAATGTGGTTAATAGGGAGCATCAAGGTCGACGAGTCCAGCGAAGTCGTCAGCTCCTTAATGGTCAGCTTCTTAGCCGTCTGCTCCGTCTTCTTCTCTCTCTCTCATCATCTGCCGAATATAACCTAGACGACCAACATCCATATCTTGTCTTTCTTCTGTGTGCGCACTGTGCTCTCCTCTTGATTCCATCCTGCCTGGAGGGTTGTTACCAAAAAAACCCGTCCGCAAAACCGTTGCTGTCTGGGCTGAGTCTCGTTGACGTTGTTACCTATGCATTTTCCATCCGGACGAATACAGTTGATATCACTCGTTCGTGGACGACTACTTTGGAGATCACTCGTTCGTGGAGGAATACCTTTGATATCACTCGTTCGTGCACTATTCCCGACGCAGAAAGAATTGAACGTATATCCCACTAGACGAAGGTGTAGAGGATCGTTCAACTAGCTCCGATTAAGAGCTCGGGTCTTGCCATTACACGTGAATCTCGTGGTATGCATCTGCTGCACTGTCAAATACCGGTATATGTGGTCGTAGATGAGCCGGCAATATGCAAACCGGCTGCGTAGCTTGCGGATCAAACAGTGCAGCTTGAGCTGAAAATTTGCATAGATCCTGTTTCCGTACCGGTGTGCCGGTTAGTTGACCGGAGAAGGCACATGTCACTGGTTGAATCGTTCGGCTTTGGGTATTAGTGGCTGCGTCGTCGTTTGAGCGCCTCGCAATCGAATACTACCGGTACACCGCGATAGGGGTAGTGGATTGCTGCCGCTGATGTGCTGCCTTCGCTGTTACTCAAAGGTCGATTGCGCAAGTTTGTTTGAACGATTACCCACTGAAAACCGGCAGGTGCTGGTGTCGATTGCTTTTCTACGTAAACACACAAACTCCCCCCACACCATCGCTGCTTGCCCGCCCGATTAGGCGGGCGTCAAGTATAAGTAGTCCTGTTCTCCCCACATTCTCTTCCTCTTTTTCTTTTCCACGCACACCAGAAGATCAAGATCAAGAGCGACAAGTGACCTACGAGTAAGTTATGCCCTCCTAAATACTTCCCTATCTTCCACTGAATCACTCCTTAATCGTCCACGTTTCTCGTGCCTGCAACCTCCGCTGATTCCTGAAGACGCTACAAGAAAAATGGGTCGCATCAACAAAAAGACCCTTAAGCCTCGGTACGAACTGAGGAAGTGTAAGACCGTCTCACGATACAACCTCCGAGACCGAAAGAAGATCAAGAAGCCAGACAGGGTATGTTCCCCTTCCCCTTCCCTCCAGTCGAAAATCATACTAACTCACTTCCACAGCTGGTTCAGGAGCCTATCAAGGCGAGACGCAGATACACAAGACGCAAGGTAAGTGATATGTTTTCAACGGGCGTAGATAACGGGTGCAAGACTGACGGTATGTGTGTGTGTATGCAGAAGACCGTCATGAGGCCAGCCGCTCCTCCTGTAGAGTCCTCCGTCTCTCCCACCAAGACTAAGGTGAGTCCTACCATCACTCCCGCTATGACTCCCGCAAAGACTAACGGTGTGTGTCTGTGTGTGTCTGCAGAAGACCGTTGCTTCCCGTGTCACTCGTTCCGAGACACCCTCACCTTCCCCCCCCAAGACCAAGGTGAGTCCCACCATCACTCCCGCTATGACTCCCGCGAAGATTGACGGTGTGTGTGCGTGTTTGTGTAGATGACCGTCAAGAGCCCAGATGCCCCTTCTGAGACGCCCTCCGGTTCCCCCATCAAGACCGAGGTGAGTCCCACCATCACTCCCACCATCACTCCCGCCGAGACTGCTGCGAGTCCCGCTGTGACTTCCGCGAAGACTGACGTTGTGCGTGTATGCCTGCAGAAGACCGTTGATCCCCGTGTCAAACATCCCGAGACGCCTTCCGGAACTCCCCTCAAGAACAACGTGAGTCCTACCATCACTCCCACCATGCCTCCTGCCGAGACTGACGAGATACACGCCCAGACTCCCATCAAGAAACCTGTCACGACCCCCGCCCATACTCCCATCAAGAGTCTCGTCAAGACCCCTGCTCATATACTCCCGCCGCCAGTCTCGGCCAGAGTTCTTCTTCAAGTTCAACCACCAGTCCCGTTCAGAGTCGTGGAAGTTTGGTGGACAGCACCGCGAGTATAACCCGCGGCTCGTTCGCCGTAGACTTGTGGGTGAGTGGCCCATGATTCCGCAATACGCGTCTTCCTCCTCTGCTCAGTGCTCATAGCTGACCGAATCTAGAAGCCCCCGGGAAGGTAGTAGGAACGCCTACTGTCGGTGGACTTTGCTTACCAGGCAGTGGCAGTCGATTTACGAGATAGACAGTAACTACTACTGGATTCTGGGCACCAAGTTCTTAAACGTCTTTTTTCTTTCGCATTACTTCCTTCCATTGATTACGTTCCTGCTAGCAGCTGCCTATGTCTTGTCTATACTATATATGTATCCGCGCGTCCAATGCCCAATGCTCATGAAATTACATCCGCCATCCCACCCTTCCCTTCCTTTCCTCCACCCCCTCCCCCTCCCCGCACTACCTATTCATACCTATAACACAGCAACCCCCTTTCCCCCCTTTCCCCACCCCCGATCATAGACCCCCTAGTATCCATAACCTGCTCCACCCTTACATCCAGCCTGCTTCCCATGGGGCCCATATCGATTCTGAAACCGAGGGTAACATTCCCCATTGGGGCGTCAGGCCACAGCGGCCGCGTGAGCGGGTTCCGCGACGCGATGGGATTGCCGATTGCCCACTGGTTCTGCGATGACTTTGACTGCCAGACTGACCAGATCCGGTCGATGTTCGCGTGGTGGACGAAAAAGATTGGGTCGCTGGGAGAGGCCCATTGGTCTAGCATCTACAGGTGGGGGTGTTAGTGCGTGGCGGGAGAGGAAGGGAGAGGGGACGTACATCGCCGCCGACACCTAGGTGCCCCGCGTTGTGGATGCCCAGGGTGTTATTTAGGTCGCCGTCGCCCTCTAGCACGACCGCAAAGCGCTCGTAGGTTTCGGAGGCGAGGACATCCTGTTCCGCCGCGGCGTTGAACCAGCGAGTAGCCGGGAGCTGGAGGAAGTTCCTCTTGATGCAACGCTCATGGTAGGTAGTATCGCCCTCATGGCCGGTATGTATGACCTCGCCGGCGAACGGCCCATCGAAGAGACACCCGCCGCCGTCGGCAGTGATATTGAGGAACGGGATGATAGCGGCGGGATCGTACGCGCCGTTACCGCCGAACCCGTGCGAGGGCGAGAAGATCGGCGCGCTGACGATGTCGGCCCCGTCCTGCTTTGCGTCCCAGTACGGCAGGTAGCCGGCGTAGTCGCATTCGCTGCGCAGCACGCGCTCGTACTCGTAACTGCGGACAGATATGATGTCAGCCCCCACACACCCACCCACCCCCAATTAGCGAAAAAGTATGCGGATGCTTACAGGTACAGCCGGTGGAACGGCAGGAACTGCCCCACGTTGTGCACCATCGGCATCTTGATCTGGTGGATGTAAATGAAGTCCTCCCAGCGAGTTTTGACGCCGGACGCCAGGGCCTGCAGCTTTCCCGGGGAGTGCATCAGGCACTTGACGGAGCGGACGTAGTCATCCTGCTGGTGTGTTGAGAGAGTACGCCTGATAGTGGTGTAACTGTATTAGCAGGGGGGACCGGGGCACGAAGAATGATCCATTGAAGTAGGTGTGTGGGAAGAACTGACCACTCTTTCCGGATGGCGGGGTTTTTGCACGCGCCGTAGCGAGGTTTCGTCGACTCCCCGTAGCGATGTGTAGACTCGGTTGGCAGGGCGGTCGAGATCGTGGCCAGACCGAGAAGGCCGACTAGCGAGGAGGCGAGGATGTTGGTGAGCTGCATGATGATTATTGCCGGCGGGCGTGTCGACGAATGGAATGATTAATAGGTGTTGGTGGCGGACACTGAAGGGAGGATGCGATGTAGACTGAGGCTGCTGGTCTTCACCCTATATATACGGTTGTAAATCGATTGAGAGGCATCGCAGATCACCAGCCCGGTAGAGGAGGATCGCCGGCGCCGCTCTGTCCGAAGATGCACAGCCTGAGATCTAGGCTCACACGCCGAAGTCGGACGGATTTACTACCTACCTACTCGAACCATCAAGTGAAAGTAGTAACATAGTAACATAGTAAAAGCACGCCCAGTTCCTTGCATGAAGCCCGCCTTGCTGTAGTAACGCCGGGGCGGGGAGATTTTCTCACCTCAGACCAATGATATGTTTAGAAGCTTCAAGCTGCCATTGCCGTGGAGTCCGCGGCGCCGGCCTCAAGCGCGAAGAGCTGTGTATGTGCACAAGACATCTCGCTACCCTTGAGCAGTCTGTGCACTGTGCATGCTACCTGCGCAGCAGCGGCGGCGACGGTAGCAACGGCAGTAGTAGTGGTGGTAGTAGTTGGGCGCAGGGCCACCGGCGAGCCCGAAATAGAGCTTTTTCCTCGAGAGTACTTACATAGACAGTACTAGTAACCACAGTCATGCCGATGCGGCACGGACGGGACGGCCTGAGTGGAGGCAGTCTGATCCTAACTCCACCTGCTCTGATAATATGTACCATGCACGAGGCAGTGGCCAGCTCAGTAGACGCCAATTCTGCCTCAGCCTCCGACGTGGAACAAAGTCAGCCCTTGTGGCAGGTGGCATCGGATGATGAGATATTCGTGAGGATGAGGAGAAGGATGATGATAATCAGGCGTGCTGTGCTGCACCACCGCCAGCCACTTGATACAGTGTCAGTCTGACAGACGGCAGGTCGTTCTGACCTGGCATGCCCGATTTGCGTTGAGTTACCTACTCGGTTCTAAGTTGCGCTGCCGAGTCTTCTGACGTGTGACAGCTCCATGTTCGCATCTCGCTGCACCGCTCGCTGCACAGCTCGCTGGTTAAGCTTGTCACTTGTCACTTGTGCAAGTGTGTGTGCTGCGGGTGCAAAAATAACTGGTGACACGGAATACGGCAGATCTGCAATTCCGGTTTCAGACTTTTCAGTTCATCGGGCGCTGGTTGGCTCGTGTAGTGCGCCAGTACTATGGGGTAGGATAGTGTGGGTGGGTGGTGGTGCTGAGCCGCGAGCTCTCGGCCGAGAGAGACGCGGAACGCACGTCGCACGAACATTGGGTAGAGTATGCTATGCACCTCACCCATCAGATTTCACCTGCCAGTGGCCGGGGTAGCTACCTAGCTGGTCGAACCAAAGCAGAGCGATGCGACACTGCGACAAGCCTACATAGGAGTCCTCGTCCCGCTTTCCACCACAACCACGGTAAAGACCGTTTTCATACCGCTTCACCTATGTCTCTCTCTTGCGGACGTACGGCTGAGAACCGTCAAAAAACTACAATATCGGACGACTTTATTGCAGATTGGGAGGGGACCGGGGCCGGGACCGGGGCTAGGACAGGGGCGTAACGATACTCCAGTCTACATTGTAGAGAACCTATGACGATGTATTGTGCAACCGTACTTAGTCGAAAGCTGAGCTGAGCTGAGCGACTTCGGTTTCCATGCGGCGTGTGGTGCGGCGTGCAGTGTGCGTCCGATCGCCACCGCACCCCACTAACATTTCGCCCGCACCGCATACCTATCTAGAGTACCTATTGCATTACCCAACCCCACCACGGCGTATTACCATTACAATTTACATACTACCAGTACGTGTAGATTCCTCGCAACTTGCGCGGGAACCTATAGCCAAGTCCATTGAGTTGTGGCCTTTCACCGGCTCACGGGTTCACCGTTGTTTGAATCCGTCTGGGTTGCGAATCGCGATATAGTAGGAAGAGTCTGTGAAAGAGCCTGTAGTTGAAAATGGCCCATTTCGGATGTAAACATGGCCCCGCGATGAAAATAGGTACAATTTACTCTGCGATTGTAATCAACATGACATGTAGAGTACTGCGCGATTCGCCTCTTGGATACATATAGGTAGTAGAGTGCGTGCCAGGTACAGGTACTCTATATAGTTGAGTCTGCTGGGTAGTTGAGTCTGCTGGGAAGTCGAGTCTGCTGGGTATATCGAGTCTATTACTCGATATAGGTACACTCTACTCATAGTACTCAGTACTCGGAACTCCACTCTCGATAGTACTCTACCGTAGTAGAGTCTAGGGATGGTACGATGATTCAGCCTCCGCGCGCTAGATAACTTTCGGGTGTTAATCGTGCTTTCTCTTTTCCCCAACTTTCTTTATCGCAATCGTTTCTTTTCTTTTTCGCAGGGCCGAGACTCAAGAGCGAGCAAGAGCATGACGTTAAACTCTACTCCAACTACTCGGTACGGTACTCGCCAGCGGCCGCTGCTACCCGACCCGCTCGTGGCTCGAACGCTCGTGGCTCGAACGCTCGTGGCAGGCATAAAGTATCCGGAGTAACTTAGCGCAACGAAAATCCTGGGAGTCTGGGACTGCAGATCTTCGTTCGAACCGGAAATTCTGCACCACCACCACCAACTGCTGGTTGAGGAAAAGCTTCATGCCGAGGAAAAGGCTGTATATCCGGATGCTATGGTGGGAGACTCCTAGTCGCGATGTAGTGGGACATTCGTGGAAAAATCGAATTTAATTACAAAATGGGTAATAAATAGCGATTTTTGAGAATTTTTTTTAGCAAAAAATGGCATTTTTAATTCCCTTTTCGGCCTATTTGTCCACATTTCAGCGTATTATGGTCCTTAACTCACCTGATCGGGCTTACCATGGGTCCAGGCACACTCAATAATGCTTATGGAATACAAAATGACCATGAGATGTGGCTCATGTGTGGCTAACATGTGGCTTCTTGAGATAGCACCTTCCTAATCCGGAATTGGGCAGGGGTTAGGGGGGTTAGGAGAGGGACATTCGGGGGAGCGCCCCACCAAAATCACTTTTTTTCTAAATTCAAAGGAAAATCAACCACACTTTCTAAAATTCAAAACTTGTTATTAAGTGAATCTAAATAGCCTGATCTATCGACTAATAACGAGCTTTAAAAATTTGGTGTGGTTTTGTGGGAGGAGATAGGTGTCAAAGTTGGGGGTGTTTTTGCATCGGGACTAGGCGTCCCCCACCATGTGTAAATGCCTGGCGCCTTACACACACAACGCACACTGTCACCAGGACCTCGAACCCCGAACCTCGAACGCCGGGGCCCGGAACCCGGGATCACTGGTAGACATATCTAAAAATAAAGTCATCTGTCCATCTCAACAATTCCATTTCTATTCCATCTAGCAAATTCATTCCATCTCGCAAAGTCATTCCATCATTATTTCATCGTGTACCCATAAAGACAACTATCCATCTCAGTAATTCCATTTCAATTCCATCTCGCAAACCGATTTCCTCACGATTTATCTAGTACCCACCGCACAGATCTAAAGTTTTAAACATAGTGAGCCTCAACCGCCTTCACCGGCGCCGACACAATCATGTACGTATCAGTCCTCACGACTAGCGACATCCAATTCTGCGCCTGCATCATCTGCATGGTTTCCTTTTCCATCCACAAAGCAGCCCTGCACACGAACCGGAATGCGCCCTGTCTGCCCCCCTCTAGCTTCCAACCGAGATTTCCAAACAGGAGGATTTTACCGTATGTACCAGTACCGCAGGCACAATAGTTCCAGAGTTGGGTGAGGTCGTGTGGCGACTGGTCGGGTGCGACAAAGGCCACGCTGAGCATCTCGGTCGACGGCCCGACGGTGGTGTCGATTATGTTGAAGACTAGTGAGTATTTCTCGAGCGCGGAGCGCGGAGGGAGGGAGAATGACAGGTTGTATGGAAGGATTGGCTGGTGCCGGATCACAAGTGCGCGGAACTCGGGGATGAATGCATCGAGGTTATAGTTCTCTAAGCTGGGGGGCTCGGCACCGGGAAGGAGATAGGATACTTCTCTAATTGCCAAGGGAGCGGTGGTCGTAAAACGCGCCGCGGTCCACACCGAGCCGGAGAGGAGTGAGTCGATGGCGTTGGCTACCCAGTGGGGTGGGATGCCGCGGTCCTTCACGAGAAAAATCGAGAGCCTGATGAAGGAAGACAGCGTGAGCGGTTGGTTGATGCGCGTCATTCCATCCGCCATGGCTCGTGGCACGGGTAGGGCCAGCTTGAAGAACATCTGCGTGAACCAGCGGGTGAAAGAAGCTTTCGGCGGAAATGGCTTTCTCGTCGATAGCGTCCATCGGTCCGGATCGGACAGACGCACCCAGCGGTAAAGCTTGGGGATATTGGCATCATGTGCTTCGGAGTCAGGACTCTCCACGCGGTCGATACCGAGCATGGAACTGGCAACCTGGACCGACGGAACACAAAGGTACTCAGCGAGGGCACGCGGAAGGCCTTCGCTAAAGCATGCTGCGTTGAGCAGGATGTTGATCTGCGTGAAGCTGATGGCATCGAGGGTATCAGGCTTGAGCACTGGCAACGCATGAAGCGCAGTCGCCAGGTGACCGCCGGAACAGTCGCTTTTAGGGTTAGCTCTCAGGATGCCATGCTCAACAGGAACGAATAACGTACCCAATGTTGCCCAGAAATATGCAATCGTATTGCGTGGGAAAATCTGACCGACCATCTGTCTTGTATCGAACGGTATCGAGATGGTGCAAGACCTCATCAACTACCAACTCGATCGTAAAATGCAACTCCGCCAGCACTTCTGCGCACTGGCTGAATATCGGCATGCACATCTCGATAAGTTGAGGCTCAACCTCAATCGGCGGGACAGGTCGCTCTCTCAAAACATCGGCCAGTGAAATCATCAAATGCTTCGGTGAGGCTCCAATGTAGAATTTCGTGATCGTTTCAACCACGTCGGTGGTATTCTTCCAAGTATACCCCCTACGCAGATTCTCAGCATACCAGATTACTATCGGAGGGGTAACGGGTTGGAGGACGCATACCATTTGTTGTACCAGTCTGGCTCCTGAAGGAGAGTGATATTGACCTCCCAGTTCTTCTGAGCGTATTCTTTGAAGGCCTGTTTCGGTGTCAGCAGCCGCTTCGGCGATCACAGGCTAGCAGGGGAAATGCATTTTGCCTCAAATGAACACGCTTCCCATTATTCTCCTTGACGAGGGCAGCGAGCTCAGGTTCCTCCACTAGCTGAAGTATTGGGGGAGGGTATACGAGCATGCTTGCTTCGTATTGGTTCCATTCCGGCTTCAAGGAAGCCATGTCCTTCATTACAGGATTATTAAGGTATTCGGCACGCTTCGTCCACGACAGCCGCGTCTGGGCATACTTGACGTCGTAGTCAAGTCTCTCACGGAGCGTCATCGCATCGCCAAGCCAGTAGGAGAGCACCGAGCGAATAGCATCCACCGTCTTCTTGTTGGTCCTCATCCACGGAATTCCGAAATTATCCCTTGTTTCCTCGTATAGCGATTTCATGACCGAGGTAAGGCGAGCGAAGATGTATGGAGGCATGATATCGCAAGCGAGTGCGTACCAAATAGTCGACAGTATCATGGATTTCTCTTTCATCCGTGCCTTCGCATCCAAAAACCTCTGCGAGATCATCGTCAGATCGAACAAGAGACGATAGATGATCAGATTCAGCGCCATCGTGTGCGCACTGATATCCATCGCGGTAAAGAAGAATTTATCCGTGCTCGTCTTCTGCGTCGCGGGCTCGTCCTTCCGGTCCTTGTAATAGCCGTAGATGTGGTGTATCTGCTGAAATACTTGTCGGGAGTCGCCGATACCACCGTAGAACAGCGAGATATCGAGTGGCGACTTCGCTTTCGCTCGTGCATGCAATTCCTCCACCTTGATCCCAGCAACTGGATGGTTGTGGTTGCGCGGAAAGTAAATGTTGAGTCCAGCATGCAGACTCGGCCTGAATCTCGGCATCTCGACCATTTCCGCCACTACCGCCTTCTTCACCGCTGCGGTGTACGGTTTCTTCCCATTGTCGACGGTCTTTTTGATGTTTAGGGCATCCTGGCTGCCACCGGAATAGCAGTCGAGCAAATCTCTCGCCTCCGGAAACCGGTTGAGGTGGAAGTAGCACTTCGCCTGTCGTATCCTCAACCCCACCTTGTTCTTCTCGTCGGTCTCGAGCGGGAGAGTATCCTTGATCGTCGCTAGGCATCCCTGGTAGTCTCCGTTCTCGAATCTAGCGCTTGAGAGGCAGCGGCGGGCAGCGACGTCGGCAGGATCTAGATTTATCGCGGAAAGGTAGTTTGTGACAGCTAGGAGACATCTCAACACAAAGTAACTTTGGGGGGTTGGGGTTCCCAAAAGGAAAACATACCGTCAGCGTACCTTCCCTCACGATAGCATCTCTTCCCTTGTCTCCTGAGGAGAGCACCAGGGGCGGCCTCGGAACGTGCTGCGGATTGAGGGGTCATGTTTGTGGGGCGGTGATCGTTATGGAAATGAATGGAGAGAACGGAGAGTATGGCGAGGTTGTAGGAGGATGATCTGCTGGGTTGACGTGGGGTGGTGTAAGGCTTAGCGTTAACCCTGAGAATGACCACTTCTATTGTGGTCGGCTATGTTTTGATTAGCGTGGTCCGAGTTTCCAAGATTTTATTTCATACCTCCACTTTCAAACCCCAATCCGTCCAGGTGCTTGTGCAAAATATTGCAGCCCCAACCAGAGACATTCAGTACAAAGGGTGTATCTTTCACCTTTGCACGGCAGCAGGCGAGATACGGTACCACTCTGCATGTTGTTTGCCAGACGACCGTCCCGCTTGACGTACCAGCACAAACAGCGTTCATAATGATGCAGTTTTTGTACTAGTGAGGGTGGATGGGTGTCCAATAGGCCCAGGCCTAGGAATTGTCCGTCCACTCCGTCCGGGGCCGACGTTATCGGGCCTGGAATCCCAAGGACTGTAGGGCTCCGAAATCTAGATCCTGCCGACGTCGCTGCCCGCCGCTGCCTCTCAAGCGCTAGATTCGAGAACGGAGACTACCAGGGATGCCTAGCGACGATCAAGGATACTCTCCCGCTCGAGACCGACGAGAAGAACAAGGTGGGGTTGAGGATACGACAGGCGAAGTGCTACTTCCACCTCAACCGGTTTCCGGAGGCGAGAGATTTGCTCGACTGCTATTCCGGTGGCAGCCAGGATGCCCTAAACATCAAAAAGACCGTCGACAATGGGAAGAAACCGTACACCGCAGCGGTGAAGAAGGCGGTAGTGGCGGAAATGGTCGAGATGCCGAGATTCAGGCCGAGTCTGCATGCTGGACTCAACATTTACTTTCCGCGCAACCACAACCATCCAGTTGCTGGGATCAAGGTGGAGGAATTGCATGCACGAGCGAAAGCGAAGTCGCCACTCGATAGTCTTCCTTCCGGACAGACTGTTTTCAGGCCTTATTAGGCTTTGAGGCCGAGAATCTCCTCGGCGAGTCGTGAAAAGAAGCAGTCGTGGTGACCCGAGGGTCTTTAAAACGAATGGTAGCAGCGCTGGTACGGGAACCCTTGCAAATACCAACGACATTCTGTGTGTTCACCGTTGTCAATGACTATCGTCAGGTATAGGGGAGATACCTGCGGGCAGGCTCCCGCGACGGGGTCAGCTGACTTTTGAGTACCTAGTGGTATTTACATCTCATGAAATTGAGAAGTGCCTTGAGAATCTTCGCGGGGGTATCCTTGACGACCGCGAGCCTTTTCGTGATGTCAGTGATAGATTATGCCTCCTGTTTTGGCATTGACTTACAACTCGATGGTTGTGCGCTTGCCAGCGTGTTTCCGACCGGATGCTTCACGTTTGCAGTGTCAGTTACGGTAGATGTGTACCTGAACTTGCTCTCAAGCCTATCTGCACCTGGTAGAGACTTCAGAAATCTAGTAACAACTTGCTTCGGTGACAGGCGAGGGGACGCGAAGAAAGCATATCATCTCCGATACCCGAAGAAGCGGCAGCGACCGAGATGGTACTCACATATCATGCGGGAGGAAGGATTGGACAGTGGGGCAGCCCAGTCGAAGCAATGTTCACGGAGACACGCGTATTCGTGACCTCTGGGTTCAAGCTGACATGCGAACATTGAGAAACAGAACATGGGCATCGTGCGGGGTTTCTTCAGGACTAATAACTATCAAAGATTGAGATGGCAGAGTTGCCTGAGGGCGGATAACTATGCAAAACTGAGATGGGGGTTTGTTGTTGTGTGGTATGGTTGTATGTAAGATGCAGGAAGAAACACAGGTAGATAGCTCCGTTCGGTTGGTTTTGAGCTCGCTCGAGCCCGTGACCCACCGTGCCAAGCTGCCGTACTGCCAAGCCATCCACAAACCAGTTCTCGTCACATGATACCGACACCACCGAGCCGCACACTTAATATTCCCAGTCACATGCTTCAGCCACCGCACGGGCGACATACAGCGCCACAATACACGGCATCCTCCGGCGTCAGCCCCATACTTGTCAATCTGCCATGTGGGTGCGTGTTTTCCAGTATTTTGTAGTGTGCTATTCACGCAGTGCGAAACTCGAATATCGTTCAGGTAATCATATCACAGCATCTTTTTGGTAAATTAGGGTGTGTAAAGTAGAGCGAGCGATCGGAGATAGATTATCGCCACCATGATTCCCGAGAATGGCCCACATCGTGAGTACATAAGATTCTTAAATCCATCTCCTTCTCTCACAAATTCTAGACTTTCCTATTCTGGCTGACGTCGGTGTCAGCACTTTACTCTTGACCGACATTAATGTTAACGCCTAGCGTGCCTTTTCGACATCGGCGTTACAGGCATCCTGGCTGTTACACAGGTACGCAAGCTTATGGCCGACGATTTCGGCGGTAAGCACTGCGACATTTGCGACGCAAAAGCTTGCGCCGAAATGCTTCGGACTTCATGTTATACACAAACGCACCCTATGTCGGGCCATAGGTGATAGTATGAAGGGCTACGAAAGCACGGCTGTGCTCGTAACTAAGTATAAAGGCCCCGTGGTTTCCGAGAGTTGAGACTCCTCATCAGTAGCAGTTTCAACATCAGCTCCATTAGTATCAACATCAAAACAAACACCTCCACCTTCAACTATCGCAATTCATCTTCCTACTATTACTGCCATCTCCTCCACCACCACCAAAATCCCCACCCAAACCACACAATCAACAATGTCCTCTCCCCTCGTATGGCTCATTACCGGCTCCACCTCCGGGTTCGGCAGTGAAATCGCCAAAGCCGCCTTGGCCCGTGGCGACCACGTAATCGCGACTGCCCGCAACCCCTCCAAGCCCGAGATGACCGAGCTCACCTCCCTGGGCGCCTCCTCGCTGGCCCTCGACATCACAAGCAGTGACTCGGTGATTGAGGACGTCGTTGCCTCCGCCGTCGCAATCCACGGACACATCGATATCCTTCTCAACAACGCGGCGTACATCCTCGAGGGAGCGGTCGAAGAGTGCTCTCAAGACGAGATCGCAGCCGTGTTCGATACCAACGTCTTCGGCCAGCTGAGGATGCTGCGGGCGGTGTTGCCGTACATGCGGAAGGCGAAGAGCGGGGTGGTCGCCAATATGGGCAGTATCGCCGGCTGGGGAGGGACGGTGAATGGGTCGCTGTACTGTGCAAGCAAGTGTGCCCTGCTCGCCATCACGGAGGGAATGAAATCGGAAGTAGCGCACTTGGGCATCGACGTAACGCTCATCGAGCCCGGTTACTTCAGGACCAACTTCCTCAGCGGTGGACATAAGGTTTCGCCGAAGAAGCACATCGCGGACCTGGATCTAGCGACGAAGCCGATTAGGGATGTGCTGGCGGGCTTGGATCACAAGCAGCCCGGTGATCCGATCAAGGGCGCGAAGCTGATCGTCGAAGCTTTGACGAAGAGTGGGAGGTGTGAGGGACGAAAGATACTGCCGAGGCGCCTATTGCTGGGCAGTGATGCGATTGCGTACACCATGGGCAAGATGGAGGCGTGGCAGCAGGATATTGAGGAGTGGAAGGAGCTGTCTCTCACCACCGACCACGATGATGTTGCGAAGTAGGAAAATGGCTTGATAGGTTGATTGGGTTTCATTTTCGTTTTGTAATAGTATGTAGCTGGAAAGATTTGGTTCGAGAATTCAGCTACCTGCATCTTTTAACGTGAGTGACAAACAGTGCTTCAACCTGAGATCCAGATACCACCACCGCCACACGACCGTCATCTACCTTCCAGTCATACACACCACGACTTCAACCACGGTTCCAACAACGACTCTTTCCATCAAAGCCTCCTCCCCTCTCCGCACCGCCGTCGCGCGCACCTGCACCTGCGAATCCTCGGTCTGTGGCCTAGAATGGCCCCTTCACCTTACACCACGCACAGCGGCACCTCGACGGATTCCGAGCCGAACCCACAGTCAATGCCACACCGGAACCTTCTCCACTCTTACCGATGAGAGCTAGCTTGACCGTGCGGATGCCTCTTGATATGTGGGGCGTTTCCCGGGTGCAAAAACGGACTCGGAGTCTTCAAAGCTACACGTACTGGTATCCCTCCGACCGTCACCCCGCCGAGTGCCAAAACGGCCTCATATCGAGTTCAACTCTCCGTCCAGAAGTCCAGATCCGAACGATGTCTACTCCTCTTGTTCACCAGCCAACCGTCCCACCGCCCCACCGCACATCTTACCCCGACCTCTACACCGCTCAGGGCCCGGTGAGGCGTTCTTCCCTGATCGCCACGACATAGTGACACGCGGCAGGCGGATGGACAGCACAGGACCAACGGATTATGGGCGCAAAAAGATTTCGGTCTAAGGGATAGGACGAAGGGGGAGAAGAGGAGGATGTTGGTGTGGATGAGCTGGAGAAGGGGCTGGAGGACAGGGAAGGGAGGACGTATCTAGGTTCAAGTCAGCGACGGCGAGAAGGCTGAAGAGATGTCGGTGAGCGCAATCGAGGTCAAGACGGGGATTTTCGTCAGTCAGCCTTTTGCGCAGTGGCATAGCCATGGGATGATATGGCTTCTAGCTTCATGGATAGAAAGGATCGTATTAGATTACGAATCATCTAAGCTGTATCTGCACTACCGGTACTGTAAGCACTGCGTTTAAGGGATATGTGGGGATTTCATCCGACGAATAGATGTCTTGTCTTCCACTGAAACAATATTGCCGGGCAGCCAGAGAGTGCATCCGTCGATCTACATCCGTAAACAGACTTTTTCGAACCCGCCACACAATACCCCTATGCTCGTAAAATTCAGCCCAAAATCGTTTACTCCAGTTCTCCAGCCTCGTAACCAACAGGCACATGGTAGAAACTTAACAAGATTTACCCAGGACATCCTCCATGCACTCGAAATCAAAGTAAAATGCATAAAGTAAAATGGTAAAGATGCGAGATGGGAAAGGTCCGTCACCCCGCAGTGGCATAACGATGGGATGACATGGCCTTCTGGCTTCATGGGCGGATATATAAATTCTCACAGAAAGGATCAACTTCACAAGATTTCCACCCATGACATCCGCGATTCACTCGAAATCAAAGTAAAATGCATCAAGTAAAATGGTAAAGACGTGAGATGGGAAAGGTCCGCCACACCCCACATTATCCCTTCCCCATCCCACGTCTTTTCATGTAAATTCTAAAAGCCAGAAAAAAAAAGAAAAAAAAAGAAGAAAAAAGAAAAGAAAGAAAAGAAGAAAAAAAAACAGAAAAAAAGAAAGAAAGAAAAAAGCCCCAGTCAACTTAAGGTTCGCCCTCGGCCTGGCGACGACGCATGTCGCGGTCAATACGCCTAAAGAAACTCCCCTTTAATTTCCTAGGGGGACGGATGGCCGTGGCCCGGGCGTTCTCAGCCGGCAACGTGCTCCCAGCAGGCCCGACGGGGGATTTGTGCTTGGGATTTCTTTCCCCATAGTACAAATAGACGGGTGCGCCAAACACCGTCGCCGACACTGCCGTGTCTTCCTCGTCCTTAACCACCCCTCCTCCACGGATAGACCGTGTATCTGCTTGAGGAGGAGGATCGTCACGTGCCCGGAGTCCATTGTCGCTGGGAGGCATGTCGTTGAAACGAGGCCCTTTGGGCTGCTGCGGGCGCTCGTCGTCAATGGCAGGATATGAGCGTTGCCGCTCCTTGGATTGGCATTCCAGATGGGCTTGGGAGGCATCGTCATCCATGAATTCTCCGCGTTTCGGGAGTCCATTGTCGCCGGGAGACATGTCGAGACGAGGCCTCTTGGACTGCTGCGGAAGCTCGTCGTCAATCGCAGCGTACGAGCGTTTGAGCTGGGCTTCCTGCTCCTTGGCTTGGTCGGCATTGCCGTCCACGTTGGTCATATGGTGTACCCCCGTTTTTGGGTCCTTCGACGCATTTTGCTTGCGTTGGCGGAGGCCGGAAACACATCTGTCCGAGATGCTGAGATGCACGTGCAGTGACACCCAGTCGCCGCGGAAGTCGCAGCAACGGCACTGAAGCTGATGTCCGATATCGAGGTGCGATTGAAAGAATTCCTTGGAATCCGAGACTGTTGATCCACAGGTGCATGACATATTACACCCTTGCGACTCCTTCAGATGCGAGTGGAGCGTGTGGCCATTGCCGCCCTTGAACTCATCACCGCAGGCCAGAAAGCTGCGAACGAGCAAAAGACGGTTGATGGTGGCGGATCTTGTTGGTTCGTCGGAACCGTGTGAAGTTATCTTCCGATGTAGTCGGCGATTGTGGAGGGCGGATGCGACCTGGTCCATGACTAAGTGAGGGACCTCAAGCTTGTTCTTCTCCTTTTCGTATCCCCAATACTCGCAGCACTCGCGCCAGTATCCGAGGTATTCGCGGTGTTCGAGACGCATTCTGATGACGGTGACCCCGGCCGATTCCCACTCATGCCAGAAGAGTCCCTCGATCTCGTCGCTGTAGGGATGAAAGTAGGTGAAACCTGAAGTAGAAGATTCGTACTTCGAGAGGACCAAGTAGAGGAATGAAGACTCCTCATCCGTGGAAAAGGCTATGAGCGCGCTGTCCTGTTCATCGTGCCGAGAAACCAGCCAGTCCGAACGTGACTCCTGATGCTTCTTCAATTCGTATCTAGGGTCGCTTGGATGGATAGAGGTGAAGCCCAGGGAGATGGAACTGCGGTGCTCCGCTGTATTTTCGGCCGTCCACCGAAGGTAGGCTGCGGCGGATATCAGAATGAACTGTCGTACTGACGAAGGCGGGGATGAAACATGCCTGAAATTCCGTCGCCGTTCTCGGATGTGTTGAAGACCCGCCACTTGCGGGCCTCGGTGTCCATGATTGACACCTCTGTTACGTTGCAAGTCATGCTCATGGTTTCTGATGTCTTTTCCATCTGGAAGGAGACATCGCCCGGCTGGACATTTTGTCTGTGGCCTGTTAGTCTTTGTTCTGGTCGCGTAGATAGTGGGTTGAGATTGGAAGTGAACGCACCCAAATGTCATGATTGAGTTGTGTCGGTTTTGGAATTGTATGGAGGGTCGTTGGTGATGAGTAATTGTCGAAGTGGAAGCAGTGGTGGAAGGATGCTGAGCAGTGGTGGAAGGATGCTGAGCAGTTATCGAAGTGGCTTAGAGGAAGGAGGTTGTAGGTGGGAGAAGACAGAACTATAAATATAGAGAGACTTCGTGGAATTTTTTTGTGTTGTCGCTAGTGTGAGGCAGCACAGATCACTCACACGAGGTCACTCGCACATCGTACCTAGTGCAAACTTCTCATAAAGAGTCACTCCACAATCCCACGACAGGTAGGATGATTGAATCAGAACAGCATTCTACAATATGGCAAGAGTAGATTTATCTCTTTCTGGTTTTATTTACTTAAGGTGCTCCACATGTATTTTTGGGGATGCTATAGCCGCATCGTAGCGAGTACAAACTTCTCATAAGAAGTCACTCGACAATCCCACGATAGGTAGGATGATTGAATCAGAATAACAATCTACGATATTTGAGGAGCAAATTTATCTCTCTGGCTTCATCTACTTAGCGTGCTCTACATGTATTTTTGGGGAAGCGATGTAGGGAAAGCTATGTGACCGCTCCGCATGACAGGAGTCAGTCGGAGTTTGTAGTTGATCCAGATACATGGAACGCACGCAACCAACAATCATATATATATAAAAAAACCCTAAAATCCGTTCATACATTCTGAGCCATAGTCAGGTACCTATGTCGCAAGTAATCATCCCTCCTCTGTGCATCGTGACCAGCTCCATTGAATTTGTCCAGGTGGCTAGTCCCAATACAGTGACACACTAGCCGGCTGCAGCGAAATGAGTGATATACAGCGACACTACGAGTATGTGGAGCGCAAACGCAGAACTTACGGCGAAACGGAGGTGATCACAACTTGCAGTTGAAATCCTCCATACTTCACGCCTACTGGCCGATCAGAGTAAGACGTCGTTGGCTGCGATGAGGTTTTCTATTACATGAAGCCATAGAATGGAAAATAAGGATTACGGATACACATTGGATGAATCCGTGATCACTGTTCACTCCCCCGCGATGAGAAGAAACACTTTTCAATCGGAAGCAAGAGATCGATTCTTTCGATAAAGAAACATCATTACCAGGCCTTCGCGCGGATGCAGATACGGGCTAGAGAACGGAGAAGAGACAGAAAATGAAACACAACAGTAAACATAAACCAATTGCAAACAGATATCTCGAAAGCGACCGCCATAATGAACACGAGGGAATCGATAAGAAAGCCACCAAAATCTCGGCGTACCCCGAGAGACTACCTTCAACGACTCTGGTATCTCTGGAATGCAGTCGTACCATAGTTCAGTGCGATTTCCTGGGGTGTGAAGTTCTCAACATGACCGTGTAGGGCCGACAACTGCACCAGATCGTTGCCATCCGCTGCTCGACGGGGTGCCTGTTCTTCACGCCTCAACTGTGCCAGTCGTTCGCGCCACCTGTGGTCCGCCACCTCGGGGGTCAAGTACCTCCGAAATTCCCGATCGAACCGCTTCTTCTCGGCGTCCTCTCGCTCTCTCGCACGAGCGTTCGCGGTGTCTTCACGCGCGATCCTGGCCATCATAGCCAGGGACTTGTCCTCATCATCGCGTATCGCCCTAATCCGCGCCTGTAGTTGCTTGTCCTGCTCGCGCTTCTTCCGTATCACTTCCTGCTTCCGCATCTGCTCGTCTTGCCGTCTTACCGCGTCCCGGAGGCTCTCCTCTTCCGCGAGCCTCCTCCGATAGTCGTCGACAGTCTGCCACCCCGGAGGTCTCTGCTCGATCGGCGGACGGGGTGGGTATAGAGGCGGTGGTGCAAACACGGGGACTGGCGGCCGATACATGCGTAGTTGAAGGATGCAGTTGTCGCACGTGCCCATCTCGTTGCGCACGAGGCGGGGCTGGCACGCCGCGAACGGCAGCATGCAGTGGGTTCCGTGGACGGCACGTCCGACCAGAGTGCTCAGGCAGTGCGGGCACCTGAGGGTGACTTCTACGCAGTCCGTCATCGTGCGTTTGTAAATATTAGGGATGGGTTCGAAGATATGGATGATAGGAGAGATCGAAGGGATATGATGATATGGATGAGTACAAAGTGATGGAGAAGAGGAAGAGGACGAACTCGGTGGTGTATGTACTTTGCCCTTAATAAAGCAATGTGGGGGTTCCCTACTTCACGCCGACGACGCTGGATACTTTCTATTGAGCCGATATTAGGTTCGGCGATGTAGCACAGCACAGCCCCGCGACGGGAGCTGTATCCGTTTGTATGGCTGTTCTTTGCCTACAGGCCGGTGTTTGCCGGATGTTTGTGGTTGAGAAGCCACTGCTAGTACAAACAATGTATCTCTCATCATCAGGTTTCGATATATCGGCTGCGTTTGCATGGTTGGTGTTTGTTTTGTTATGGTTCTCGCCGGATACAGACGGTACAGACGTCGGGGAAGGTGGTTGGACGGTACCGATGGATGGCCATCGTTTCGATTCCTGTGACATCCGCTCTTCGTTCAATGATGGGTGGTCACTTCAGTGACTTCACCGTCGACACGAGAGACCACCTGCGGCGGAGCCTTGATAAACATCCTCGTCGATGGCGCTGGCTGGCTACGTGCCAGCCCTGCCTAGCCGCTCGCGGCTGGGCGAGGCTTGCCTCGCAACAGTTTGGCTAGACGGTGGTTGGAACCGGCGGAAACAATTCTCATCTAAGAAGTAATCTCGTATATGAAGAGATTAATTTTGGCCATGCAAGCAATCAAATTTCTATCCCCAACCATCTACATACCGTATCCTTCCTCTCACAGCCTCGTCGACATCCCCTACCATCTGCCATATCCATCCTCTTCGATCCAATGGCCTCGTCGACGGGGGTGACTGGCTGCCAGCCCAAGCCAGCCCAGGCCAGCCCTAGCTGGCCATTAGCGGCTGATTGTGGAGTACCTTGCTAACTGTGAACTTCTATCCCAACCATGGATATCCTTCCTCTTAAATCCAACTTCTTCGATGGGGTTAGCCATCTACCAGCCAACATCGCCCAGCCGTTGTCGGCTGGGCGAGGCTTGCCTCGCAACAGCTTGACTACACGGTAATCGGAAGTGGTGAGGACAGTTCTCATCTTATGTAACGTTTCGTTCCCAGCAGACTTTCACATGCTCACTGACTGATTACTAAAGACAAGTGGACTAGACTCGGAAACTAGCACGCGTGTGTCACTAAGCTCACGACCATGCAAACTCTGCACACCAGCATACAATCACTAAATATCACTTGCTACCAAAGCGCCAACCCTCAAAACTTCAAAAAGAGTTGTTGATTGAGCCCGACGTGGGACTCGAACCCACAGCCTCAAGATTAGAAGTCTTGCGCGCTACCATTGCGCCAGCCAGGCCATTTGATGGTTTGAATAGAACTAGGTCAAATACATTGAGAAGGTATCTGCAGCACTCAAGAGTAGAAGTCCTGCACGGAGCACCTGACATGTATGGGTGGTAGTAGAGTTGAGGCAGATGACTTCAAAGGTTAAAAGCCTACATGTAGTACAGTATGTGTCACGGCTCGCAACGGAATGAGGAAGAAAGGGCAGGCGCAACGATTGGAAGAGTCGTGTAACGGCACGGTCGGGCAAGGCTCCAGGTAGCAAAGTCGGGCTGGGGATCGGGTTCTGGGTTCGGTAGAGGCAAGACGGGTTCAGGGGACAAGGTGAGGCAGGTGTAACGGCACGGTCGGGCAAGGCTCCAGGTAGCGAAGTCGGGCTGGGGATCGGGTTCTGGGTTTGGTAGGGGCAAGACGGGTACAGGAGACAAGGTGAGGCAGGGCTCAGTGTGTCACGGCTTGCGATGGAATGACGAAGGGAGGGTCGGCACAAGGATCGGGAGAGTTGGGGGGCAGTGCAGAGGCAGTGCACCGGCAGTGCAAGGATGAGTCGCAGAGGATTTGGGGCTGTGTGCAGGGAGCAGGGATAGCGCAGCAATGAGTCGCAGGAGATTGGGGCTGTGTGCAGGAAACAGGGGTAGTGCGGCTGCGCAGGGTATGAGTCACGGAAGTGGGGTACTGGCAAGGTGGATTTCTCAGGGTCTGGCACACGCCCACGGTCATTGTCAGGTTGCGGGAAGAAGTGGAGGATTTTCTATATAAACGGGCCGTTGCCCCTCTGTATTTAGTTCTTCACGCAACAACTTGTTAATTCAACCACTGTTACCTCTGTCCTTGCCTCGGCTGCCGTCTGCGCCGTAGTCCTTGTGCCTGCCTCTGTTCTCAGTTGCCGTCTGCACTGAGCCCTGCCTCACCTTGTTCCCCGAACCCGTCTCGCCTCGACCGAACCCAGAACCCGTTCCCCAGCCCGACTTCGCTACCTGGAGCCTTGCCCGACCGTGCCGTTACACTTTGTTGCGTCCCCTATCTCTCCACCTAGCGAACTACCATGGCCACCAACACTCAGGTACCCGACGTCCCCCAGCAGGACGAAGTACCAGTGGCACCCCCCTTCTACCGAGAAATTCCCGCCGCCATCTACGAACAACTCGAAATCATCGTCAATCATGATGTACCCGCCGATGATGCAACCCTGATGGGGTTGTACAATGAATTCAGAATCCTCGCCCGCGCAATCACCCAGTCCCCAATAGCCGTACCGACCTGGCGATTCGACGACCTCGAAGAACAACTTGCCGACGCCCGCCGCATCGCCAACCGCCTCGCAACCGTCGAAACCCAACCTCAAAGCCGCGCTGAGCGTGTCCCAGAGCCAGCCATGTTCGACGGAACACGCGAGAAACTGGAAGGGTTCGTTGCGCAACTTCGACTCAAGCTGTACAGCGACCCAGCCCGTTTCCCAACTCCAGCACTCCGAATGGCCTATGCCTTCAACCGCTTGGAAGGCCGCGCCCAAGCCCAGATCCTGCCGTACATCGAGAATCACAACATCACCCTCACCAACGCTGATGCGATCATCACACTCCTGAACAACGCATTTGGTGACCCTGACCCAGCGGCCACCGCTCGAGCCAAGCTACACCACCTGAAACAAGGCAATAAGGAGTTCACCTCCTACTTTGCGGAATTCCAGATGCTTGTCTCCAAGCTCAATTGGGACGAGCATGCGAAACTTGACGCGCTGCGAGAGGGAGTATCCATCGAACTCCACCGGCAACTTGTGGGCCGTACTCAGGGCCTCAACTACGATGAGTTTGTGGCCCTCTGTCAACGCCTTGACTCCGAGCTGCGTGCCCTCCAACTTCGTGAGGGACGTCGCACCACCAACCCCCCTCGGCAGAGTAGCGCCCCACACCCAACGGCGCCGCTCAGGCACACCACCCACAACACCATGCCCGCGACGACCACTGCCACAGGAACGGCCCCCGGAGCCATGGACTTGAGTGCCAACAGCCGCAGGATCCCAGACCAAGAGCGTGCTGCCCGGCTCCGCGAAGGCCGCTGCCTGTACTGTGGGGGAAGTGGCCACATGGCCAGGCACTGCCCCAACAAGAACCGAAATCCGTTCCGAGCAGCCGTTGCCCGGCTGGAGTCAGCCCAGCCCACCAACACCACCCCGACTCACACCTATCACAACTGCAACCAGGATTGCGGCGAGACCTCCCAGCAGTCGGGAAAAGCCTAGACCAACAACCGCTTGATGGCACTGTTGTTGGTCGTACCCAGGATAAGTCTTTGTCTCCTATGTCCCCTATTTTTCGTTTGTCTAGTCTTTCAGTGTCAGGAATGGTTGTGGAAGAATCATCAATGGAAGGAAAACATCTTGTTGTATTGTGTAACCTTTCGTTTGGTGACAAAACTATTGCCACGCATGCGCTGATCGACTGTGGGGCAACCGGAATTGCATTTGTAGACAAAGACTTCGCCCGCCATCACCACCTACCCCTCGTACCCCTGAAATCCCCGCGAAGTCTCGAAGTCATTGATGGCCGTCCCATCGAGTCAGGCGACATCACACATGTTGCCACCACCACCCTGTCCATACAGGAATACCACGAGGAAATCCCTATGTTTGTCACCAAACTAGGCCACTACCCCGTTGTACTCGGAATCCCCTGGATGGACCTCCACGATGTGGCCATCCGGTTCAGCTCCCGAACCCTCACCTTCGGCTCCCAATACTGCACAGCCAACTGCAATGCGGTGCCCACAGTTGCACATGGAATCACCACCGACCCACCTGACGTATCCACCTATGCTCTCGCGTCAAAAGCAGCTCAGCAAGAGCCAGCGGTAAGCGCGGGGGCCGGCGACATCGTGGCCCGCTACATTACGTCTCCCCCAAGGAAGAATCACCAAGAATGCACTAACCTTTCAAGGGAAAGCACAGTCAGAATCTCAGCCTTACAGATGGAGTCATTCCAAGAACTGGTCGACAAGGAAAGCCTCACGATTTTCAACACCACGCTTGCCGAGGTCAACGGCGCACTGGAAGGAAACAAGGACCCCACGGCACATATCCCTCACGAATACCACGAGTTCCTACCGCTATTCTCTGAAGCCCTTGCCCAGAACCTGCCCCCGCACCGACACTACGACCATAAGATTCCACTCAAGGAGGGATTTACGCCCCCATACGGACCCCTGTACTCACTTTCGAAAACGGAGCTTGTCGCACTGAAGGAATGGCTTGACGACAACCTCCGCAAAGGTTTCATCCGTGCCTCTTCCTCTCCAGCAGCATCGCCAATCCTGTTTGTCAAGAAATCGGACGGCTCCCTACGCCTGTGTGTGGATTACAGGGGCCTGAACGAAGGAACAATCAAGAACAGGTACCCACTCCCACTCCTCCAAGAAACTCTGATGCGGCTATCCGGGGCAAAATACTTCACTACCCTGGATATCCGTGGTGCCTACAACCTTGTGCGGATGGCGGAAGGAGAAGAGTGGAAAACTGCCTTCCGGACACGCTATGGGCTCTTCGAATCCCTCGTCATGCCCTTCGGCCTCACCAACGCCCCTGCCGACTTCCAAGCTCTGATCAATGATGTGCTACGCCCGTTCCTCGACGGCTTCTGTACCGCATTCATCGACGACGTCTTCATTTACAGCGGATCCTTAGATGAACACCGGAAACATGTCAGGAAAGTACTTCAGGCCTTATCAGCAGCCGGTCTGCATCTCAAACCCGAAAAATGTCATTTCCACCAGACGGAAGTCAAGTATTTG